TGATTTCATTTTTCCCAGATCCTCTTTTGTTGCCAGTTCAGAGAGTCCAGGTGGTTGAGTGTCAGATTGTTCCATCTGGTTTCCCTTTGGGGTTGCTGTAGGTGATCCAGAAGTCTATTTTTGAGGCTTGTTTATGTGTCTTCTCATTTCCACAAGGGGGCGGGGTTGCTTCTAGCACCCACTTGGCTCACCTTCTCTGCCCTAGGAGCTTGGGATGGCAGCAGGGGAGCTTCCTTCTGGGTTCTGGGACTGGCTCAGCTTCTCTGCCCTAGGAGCTTGGGGTAGCAGTGGGGGAGCTTCCTTCCTGGTGCTGGGACCAGCTGAGCTTCTCTGCCCTAGGAGCCTGGGATGGAGGCGGGGAGCTTCCTTCAGGGTGCTGGGACCGGCTGAGCTTCTCTGCCCTCGGAGCGGTTTGTAGAGGTTTCAGTCCCTAGTCGGCTGGCTCCAAGGCAGGGTGGCATAGCAGAGGGGCCTGACAGGGGAGAAAGAGTTCACAGTGGCACGGTAGGTAGGAAAACCTAAAACAGTGTTTGGTAAAGTGTAGCCTGGCACTCTTTCAGCCCTTTCACTTTATCATTATCAAGTTAAAATTCACAAGCTCATGTTTCTGCAGATGGATGTGGTTCATCACACTTGAAATACAAAATTAATGTGCCCTGTCTAGCTCATACATCTGAGTGGAGGGACAGTTAAATAGCCAGCTCAGCGAATCAAATGGAAAAATGAAGTGAGTGGTATTAATATTCAGCATTTGGGATGAATGTGCTTCATTATTGTAACATTGGTCAAAATGTCCTTAAACATAAAGAACATCATGCTTAAAACCCATTGTCTTTGTCCTTGAAACTGCTAAATTTTTAAAGCTAAGGGTGTTATTGCTGTTTCTTAAAGTGTGGTTTGAGCACTGTTTGCATGGCAAACATCTGAAGAAGGAGTAAAAGTTTGGATTTCTAATCTCATTACAGAGTTAATGAATCAGTATTGCTACTTGTGGGGTCCCCAACTTGCAATTTTACAAGCCTCCCAGGTCAGGCCTAGGCACAGGAAAGTTTTTAAATCATTCATGTAAAACTAACTTACTCAATTCTCAGAGATACGACATTACTTGTCTGGGCATTTTAATCATCAATTTCAGCTACTGTGGTCCAGGAACTTTTGTATTACTTTGATTTCCCTACAGATTTAGCAATTGGAATGGCAGGAGGGGCCACTGGGGAGCAAGGTGAGAGGAAATAATTTGTCACACTGCCCATAACTTACAATGAACTGTCTGCATATATTGCAGGCTTTTCTCTAGTAATAATGGTACTCTTCGATCTTTGAGAGCCATCGGACAGTGTAACAGGTACCTGGATTACATACCTGAATCCTCAAAGCAGCCCAGGGAAATGGGAGCTGCCATTCTCCCCTTCATGGAGATAAACTGTGGCTCACAAGGATTAAGTAATTTATCTGCAGCTGGAACCAGGGCTCAACCCTCAAGAAGTCTAATTCCACAGGTGTAATGTTTGCTCTAAGATGGTCAGATAGAAAAATGGCCAGGCCTACTCAAAAAATTACAGAACTTCACAAGTCTCTACCTATCCTCATAAGAAATGCAAGAACCTAGAAGATTACCAAATAAGACCATAGAATTTAATGATAGATTGCAGTTTTCTTTCTTTTTTTTTTTGGTACCAGGGATCGAACTCTGGCCCTTGAGCTTGCAAGGCAGGCGGCGAAACCACTGAAATAAATCTCCGGCCCAATAGATTGCAGTTTTAAGCTTGAGATCCTTGACATGTGTTTTTGATTCTTAAATGCACTGTCATTTGCTGTCTTGATTTAATTCTGTCTCCTGGACAAATTGCTTCACATATAAGTCCTCAATTTCTTCCTGTGTAAAATTCAGGGTATCATACTAAAAGGACCTTAAGTCTCCTTATGGCTCTGTCATCCTTTTTTTTGAAAAAGAAAAAGATCTTTGGCTTTGTCATATATACTTAACTATATAGAGTTTTATATCATTGGGCCACATATACTTCTCTCTATGGAACTGCAAAGGGCTCTCATAAATATGTTATTGAATATGTGACAGTGATGTTTTTGCTTTAGCTCCTCAATAAACTGAAAAAATCAACTGAGAAGTTGGAAAAGGAAGATGAAAATTACTACCAAAAGAACATGGCAGGCTATTCAACCAGACTGAAATGGGAAGACACACTGGAAAACTGCTACAAGGTAAGTTGTGCATTCACATTTGTTTCTTCTGTGGAATGTTATCTGACCTGACCTTGGAAATGAAGGTGAGATCTGCAGTTGCAAGACCTAATTTCTGGCTTAGCTATGATCCTCAGTTTTACTGTGACTCTCAATAAACCACGTTTCCTCTCACTGTTTCCATTTCTCCATGGATACAGTTACCAATGAAAATTTATTAAGTATCATTTGCCAAAATTTCTGCTTCTAATTCTCAATGGACACAGTAGCACTCAGCTGATTGTAAAAGTGCTATCAAAGTAAAGAGTGACTTAAGGCTTAGATCTCAGGTACCCAGATGTGAGTTTCAGCTGAGGTCTAACTCATACAGTGATCACTTACAGAGTTCTTTCGAATCCCAGGCATTGTGCTGGTCACTGGAGATTTATAGTGCTGAATAAAGTACCATCTTCACATCTTAAATGTCCGCTTTAGTAACACAGACAACCTCATAAAGAATGAATTGTGGCAAATCATCCAATAAAAATATTTAAAAGATATGAACGAGCAAGTCACAAAAGGGAAGTCAAAATCACCCTAAACATATGAAAAGATGCTCAATCATTTGGCAAAATTAGGGAGGTGATAATATCAAGTATTGGCAAGGACATTAAAAGACAAGAATTCCTGTGCTCCTCGAGTGAGAATAATTTAATGGTATCTAGTAAAGTGGAAAGTGCATGGACCCACAACACAGCAGTTGCCCTTTTAGGGGAACATGAATACCTGTACTTCAGGAAGGACACAAGAAGCTGGGTGTGGTATGCACGCCTATAATCCCAGCTACCTGGGAGGCTGAGGCCTGAAGATTGCACATTCAAAGCAAGCCTGGGCAACTTAGCGAAACCTTGCCTCCAAATAAAAATTTCAAAAAGGGCCAGGGATGTAGCTTAGTAGTAGAGCACATGCCTAGCATGCGCAACTAGAGACCTAGGCTTCTACACTGTGCGCTTCCCCCAGTAGAATCGGGTACAGCATGGCTACAGACAAGCAGAAATTGAAAGGCTGCTTTAAAATTTCCTGGATTCAGTCTTCAGTGCCACAGAAAAAGTTCATTATAGAGTTGTTTATAGTTGCATGGTGAGGAAAAATTAAACACAATCTTCATATCCATCAACAGAGCACTCTTAAAATGTTCTCTAAGCTGAAAAATAGACTAATGCTAGCACTAAAGAGTTAATTAAAACTATATTTAAATATGAATTAACCTAAAAGTACATTGTTAGAGGGGCCAGGGATTTAGCTCAGTGGTTCCACCTCCAGCCTCACAGGAGGAAGGTCCGGAGTTCCACCCGCCCCACCCCCGCCCCCGGCACCAACCCCCCCCCAAAAAACCCCACAAAAAACGATGTTGGAAAGAAATAAACCATATATACAACTTACGAAAGTTTTCAAAATTTTTTAACTCATACCCAAACTATGCTGAGTTGTAGGCGTGGCTTGTAAACAGGCTATTGCCTGGATCTCTGCTGGGGGGTGGGGAATGGAGCTCACGCCCCACAGCTTACACTCAGCCGCTGGTGAAATAACACAACCAACCCAGCACCAAAAAAGTCTCCCAGCTGTACAGGAATAGCTTAGCTCTCCATCTTTAAGGCAATATAAATATGACCAAGTGAAATAATGATCTATTCTGTGTGATAAGACCCTGAATATTTTTGTTTTATTTTTCTCCACATATTTCAAATTAAAAAAAAAATGCTTAAGGCTGCTACAATTGGAAAAGGAAGTAGAAAGTGCCTGGCGCGTGATGTGGGTAGGCATTGTGCTCAGCGCAGTTGTGTGCACTGTATTGTGTACCTGTCCAACATTATGAAGATAACAATGTTATTCCCAGTGGAGGAATTTGAGGCTGGTGAGATGAGGTAACTTCCCCAAGGTGGTTCTGGTATTCCACCTAGGCCTCTGCACTGAGTTTCCCCCAGTAGAACTGGCTGCAGCAAGGCCACAGGCAAGCAGAAATGGAAAGGCTGGTTTTAAATCTCCTGCAATTCAACCACATTCAGGTAGGATAGATGCAAAGTTAGAGAAGAAAGGAGAAAGTGAGAGATGAACATTTAGGTCAAAGAGGGAGAGAAAAAACCCTTCTTTCATTTTCATCATGGAACCTAGGATCTTATTCTCCCCTAGCTTATGCTGACTAGGTTTTAGATGGATAAAGAAAAGCCAGGGATTTAAATTCCAACTTCATCCATTTAAAAGCTGGCTCTGCAACCTAGGCTCTGATCTTGCCTTATCTCCTAGGACAGGGATGGTGAACCTTTTAGAGTTTTCAATGATAACAAACAGCCTTCTGCGGCATGAGTGCCATAGGTTTGCCGCCCCTGTCCTAGGACTGCCTAATGAAGCAGTAGCTTTTCCAAACAGCTAGCTTCCTTGGATGGCTCTGTTAGGAGATGGAAGAGAAAGCGTAGCTACCACTCCATCTTCTAGGAACCCTTCAAGAACTATGAGAAAAATATGTAAGCTCAGCATCTCCTCCTCCCTCACCCTCCTCCCTATGCCACAGCAATGGGCGACGCCATTGGTTCTTCCAGGGTAGAGCTAACGAGTAGCTGGCCTTCTGAGTGTGTTCAGCACTGCTGGTGCTACGGTCATTCATAGAGGCTCTCACTAGTTCCCTTCTTTCTTTATGTCAGATTCCCTTTCTCAGGGTAAGATCCTCCTACTCCTTTCTTTCCCTCTTTTTTCATTAGTCCTAATTTTTATATTGTAGCATCATGGAAAGTATCTTTCCTTCCTTACAAAGTCATCCTGATGGTGACAAGATGCACATTCACTGACATTTTAAAAAGACCTCCTTTGGACTTCTGCTTGTTTGTTGCTTTTATTGTTTAATTAGAATTCAGGTCACATACTGCATCATTCAAAACCTGTCTCCTTGAGGAAAAGTGGGTTTTTCTTTCATGCCTCTTGTGTCCAGGATCTTTGCTACCACTGTGCTGGAGGCCGGCAGTATCTCACCCCTCTTCTGCTCCGTCCATGCAGCCCCTTGGACCCCACCTTCCTGTAAGCTCCCTTCTGCCCACTGAGTGCCAGGCCCAGCCCATCGGACCCAACTGGAGACCACCTCTGTCAAGTCACTCTTGCTGTAACCCCAATAATGACAACCTTATTTCTGAGCTTATATCTATTTAGTCTACACCAAAAAATCATTCACTCACATATTACTCTATTCATTCTATACCTTTTGTATATTTACATCAGTAGAAATATTAGATTCACAAAGACAGGCTGAATTCACTTAAAGAATTTCAGTATAAGTGGAATGGGATAGTTGGAGCCCTCAATTTTATTTTTTTGTCCATATTCTCACCATCCTTCTCTAAAAATTGAATATAAGAATTTATTTTAGCCTAGCATATTGGTGCGTGACATGATCCCAGCTATTCAGGAGGAGAAGAGAGGATTTACAAGTTCCTTCGGGGAATACTCATTGAACTATGCTCAAGCCAGTTTCCTAGATATTGTGGGAAATATTATAGTCTGAAGTGTGGCTATTAAGCAATGGAACCAATTGTGCAAACCACATGTCAAAATTATCCTTCTTACCTCATATTATGTTCCTCCTTTCCAGGAAGAAGCAATTCAATTGATAGAAATATTCTACAATATACTTTAAAAAATAATAGCTGTGCTGTCAAGAATTTCCAAGAATCAAATGCTTGGTACTGATAATACTTACTGAAGGAATTATTTTACACAGCCATTTGCAATGTGTGTCAAAAGCTTTAAAAATGTTCCTTCTCTTAACCAGTGTTCCTCATCTGAACCAGAGAGCAAGGAAATTATCCAAGTGGCTGTTTGCTCAGCTCTAGCAAGGATGGTGCTTGGCTGGGACCATTTAGGTGCAGACAGATGGCAACTGGTTACAGTTGTGTGTCACTGAACAAGGGGGCTCCATTCTGAGAATTTAATCGAAGGGCCATTTCATCATCTGAACATCCCTAGAGACCTAGGAGGTGTAGGTCACTCACTCAGTGGAGCCATTTGGGGTAATCAAGAGATGAAGTAAACCTGAGAGGTATGAAGCTGTGGCTTGTTTAACACAGTATTCTGCTTTATGGTAAGTTTTTACAATAGAAGGACAGTGATAAAAAGTATGGCATAATAAATACATAAACATAATTGTCTATTATCAAGTATTAAGCACTCTACACAATTGTCCATGCTGTACTTTTACTCGACTGGCAGTGCAGTAGGTCACTTGACACCAGTATCACAAGTGTGTGATGTCCTGTATTGTGCTGTGATGTTATGAGGATTTCAGTAGGTGATAGGAACTTTTCAGCTCCGCTGTGGTCCTATGGGCCCACTGCATAGATGGTTGGCATTGATTAGAAAGTCTTCATGCAGCACACGACTATAAGAGCTGGGATCAAAATATACAGTTCATGTTTAAATAAAAACTGAATGAGGGGAATTAGATGTTTGAAGTCAAGGAAAGTTTTAAAAGGGAGACTAATGGCAATGTGTCTTTTACTGTAGGAAATTTTAAAAATGTAAATGTTCACTGTATTTTTTATCATACCTTGTACATATGTTAGATACCTTAGGACAATGGTGGTGAACCCATGGCACCCATGCCGCAGCCAGCTATTTCTTATCATTGAAAGTTCTAAAAGGTTCACCATCACTGCCTTAGGATGTTAGCGCTTAATTCTCTCCTACGAGTCATGTTAAAAAAGGTAATTTCCTTTTTACAAATCCATTTTGAGGAAGTAACTGAAAACAACACAGAGATTTCTGCTGAAAACATATTAAAATTAAAAGGGAAAAAACTCAAATGGCTAACACAAAAGGAATGACTAAATTGTCTACACAGCTGACTACTATGAAGTAATTAAAGTGGTATTTTCAGAAACTAATGACATGGAAAATTGTTCATGTGTGAGGTTAAGTGGAAAAAAATTCCAAATTTGAATAATTTCATAAATAATAAAAAGATAAAATCACATATACTCAATAGTCCAAAATACATCAGACTGTTGATAGTGGTCACCTCTGGGTGGAAGAATTCTGAAGATTTTAGAATGCATTTGTTTGTGCTCTTGTGTAGCCCTAGGGCAATGTTTCAAGGCACCTGGAGAATTTGCTAAAATGCAGATCGCTCACACCTCCCCAGACCTGATGAATCGGAATCTTTGAATAGAAAGGGGTTCAAGTGACTTCTAGTCACTCAGGACTTCAAGAGTCCCTGGCTTAGGAAGAGCATGATACTTCTTTCAACAGTTTTATGAAAGCAATTTAAATGAAAACACAGTCCCCCAAGGTCCTCTGTAGTCCAGACCTGAAGCCGAGAACAGCAGGAACTGGAGAGAGAATGAAGACTTCGAATTATCATGAGGCCTATGTCCCAGACATGCGCTAGCTACATCCACTGTCGCTTGTGGCCTCACTCTGGCCATAGTTTTTTGTATATGCCATTGTGGACAAGAGGACAGTTTGAGGTCCTTCAGGGTCTTATCTATCCCTTCATCACTCATCTTGTACAAAAAGAAAAAGATAATAGAAAGCAATAATTCATTAAATGAGATATGGATTTTCCCTTTGCACAGTGGAATTTATTTCTGCCTCTTTTCATGAGCAAACATAGATCATTTTAATGATTTACCTGAAATGTAATTAAAATATGTTAAACATTACTGTCTCTACCAAAGGACGCTGGTTATTTTAGTCTCAGATTGATGCTCCTGGCATAGAGCTTGTCAAAGTACAGAAACAGCTGCCCCCAGGGATACAATGTGTTCCAAAACCTGGCTTTTTTATTTTCTCCCCTGTCTTTTGCTCCTAGTGGTAAACTGGAACAGCTACTTTCTACATCTTTTTGTGTAGGGTAGAGACTTTTTTTTTTCCAAGAGTGTCCCATTGGAGATCCAAACAAATGAGCAGAATTTGTTTCCGACATTTATTGGGAGGCATTTTGATTCTGCCCTTTGAAGGAGCAATGTGTTTGAGAGGCTGTTCTACTGTGTCATTTTACTTTATCTGGGAGACAGAAGGGCAAATGGCCACATTTAAATGGCTGGTGCCTGTGATTTCAGAGAAAGACTCAGGAGACGGCCAGCAGAAATAAAGGCATTTGGTTCCTGCCAACTTGGTAAAATTGTACTGCTTCTGATGTATCTAAGAAGGTGGCCACAAGGGGCACAGTTCCAGGCTTCCTACCCAAAGGTCGGGACCCTGGCTTAATCTTCACCTTTCATGTGATTGGCATAGGTGTTCACAGTTACCACCTGAGCCTTTCACTACTTGCATTTGAAAGGAGTGTTAAAAGGACTAACAAAACATAGCATATGCAGTAGAATATCATTCAGCCTTAAAAAGAAAGAAAATTCTGGCACTTGCCACAGCGTGGATGAATTTTGAAAACATGCTAGGTGAAATAATCCAGACTTAAAAGGAAAATGTTTTACAGTTCCTTTCATTTGATATATATATATATATATATATATATCAGTCAAATTCATAGACAAATGGTTGCCAAGGCCTAGAAGATCGTGGAAATGGGCAGTTATTATTTCATGGGTACAGATTGTCAGTTTCATAAGATGAAAGAAGTTCTAGAGATGGATGCTGCTGATGATTGCAACAACATAAATGTATGCAGACACTGAACTATACACTTAAAATGGTCAAAATTAAGCCAATGTGATGGCATACACACCTGTAATCCCAGCACTCAGGAGGCTGAGGCAGGAGAATCACTATGAGGCCAGCTTGAGCTACATAGTTAGTTCAAGGTCAATGTGAACCACAAAGTGAGACTGCCTCAAAAAAAAAAAAACGTTAAAATGGTACGTTTTATGTTATGTACATTTTACCATGCTTTACAAGGATATAGAGGGACATCATACTGGGCCAGGCAGGTGGACCCTGCAGGTGTGCCACAGGCAGCAGGACAGGAGCAAGGAGCTCAGTGAGTCCTGTGCCTCTCCACAGCCCCAACTCCCCACCAAAGATCTTGAGACATAGCCATGCTTCTTCCTCCTTAAGGTTGTATTACCGCCAATTTTCCCAAAGCCTTCTTCATGAAAGACTATTTCTGAGTGCTCTCTACTTTGTGGGACAGAAGAGATAGGATGGAGGCTATAAAAGCCACCAACCTGGCTGTCTCTGGATAAAAGGATGAATTATCTTTATAAAAACAAGATGGCAAGTTTTGCCCTGACACCTGCCATCTCTGTCAAAGGCCAGAGTCCTCTGGGTACATTCCTGTTCCCAGCGGCCTCACACTGTCCCCATGTGGCCTAGGGTTCTCCCTGCACACCCTACTAGACCCTACTCTGTGAGCTTCTCTGCCCTCCCTCAAAGCCACTAGATAGCAGCTAGAGCCGCAAGACTCTAATTACGAACTGTTGATAAAATTTAACAACTAACAAGGCCAGTGTGATGCTTCTTACTTCATATTTATCCTTCATCCCCAAAGTCGTGACATTCCAGTGTGGAGTTGTTGTCATCTCATATAGTCATCCCACTTGCAAAAGGCAGAGCTTGGGGCTGGGGAATGTAACTCAGTGGTGGAGTGCTTGCCTAGTGTGTACGAGGCCCTGGTTCTCTCCACAGACCTGTAATAACAAAGCAAAGAAAAAGTGAACCTTGACCCTTGGTCTCATTTTAGGTCAGAATTAATAATCAGTCAGACTTTGGCATTCTGCTACTGCCAAAAAAGCTCCTTAACCAGACATGTGCATGGAGAAACATGGGCAAGGATTCATCTGCACCAGGAATGATTCTGAATGCATTTGGTGTCTTACCGCAATTCCAACATGAGTTCACCTGGGCTTTGCTCTCCTGCTCCAGAAGTCACAGATACTTCTTAAATGTGTTCTTTCCTCTTCTCTCCTTCTTTGTGAACATCAGGTAGCCTATAGCATCTGTGTAAATGCCTTTTGGGGCAAAAGACCCTGGAGAAATTTTTTGAGTTAAGTTCATCTTAAAGGAGGATAAAGGACGTCAAGTCCTATTTCTCCCCTGGAAATCTCCCCCACTATGACCCAGTGAAGACGAGTCCCAACAGTCAGTACAGGCTGTCTCCAGGTGTGTTAGGGTTTGATGGGTGACTTCCGTTTTGCATAACAAATGGTTGATCTTATCTCGTTTTCATCCTCTTCAGAGCATCCTGGAGCTGGAGAAGGAAAGAATTCAGCTTTTATGCAATAACTTAAACCAGTACAGCCAACATATTTCTCTTTTCGGCCAAACACTGACCACAGTGAGTCGTGAGGATTTCTCTATTTCTGATATGCATGGTAAGGACTGGCAGAAAACAGCTCTTCACCAACTTTTTTCTGCTTTTCGTGGCATTGCAGTGCCACACACAGATTCACTGCGCCATCAGCAAGGTTGATATTGAAAAGGATGTCCAGACTCTCATGGAAGAAACTGTGATGTTATCTACAGAAAACAAATCTGAATTCCTGCTAACTGATTACTTTGTAAGTAAGGCATGGCAGGAAGTTACCTGAATGGGGGGCCTAGGTATATCGACAACTCATCATGGAAAAACTGAAAGCAGCTGTTAAGTTAATATTTTTTTGTAAATGAAAATATTGATTTTTTTCCCCATAGTTCATATAAGTAAAATATATGGTGTATGGTTTACAAACTGGGGAGTGGAAATATATCTTGGGTATTCTCTGGAAGAAAGTCAAGAAGGGTTTTAGGCAGAATTTTCTTGTTCAGTCTTTAGCCTAGTCTGTTTTATGCTTCTGTAACAGTGTACAACAGACTGAATAATTAATTCGTAAAGAACTTTAATTGATTTGGATCAAGGTTCAGGAGCCTAGAAAGTCTGAGATGGGGGGCCACATCTGGTGAAGGCCTCGTTCTGTATCACATATGGTAGAAGAGATCGAGTAGGCGAGACAGCAAGGGAGGGCCAAATTTGCTTTTATCAGCAAGCCTCTCTCGAAATAGTGACATTAGTCCATTCAGGCAGAGCCCCCTCGACCAAATCATCTCTTAAAAGTCCCACCTGCTAACCCTAGTGCATCAAAGGTCAAGTTTGTAGCACATGAACTTTGGGGGACATTTAGAGCATAGCAGTCTTCTCTAAGAGTCACACCAGGCAGATGTGTTTTGTGAGCTATAAATAATGCCTGCTTATCGCATCGTGCCTAGACTGGTTGTCTACACAAATCACCCCCAAAGTGAACTACCTAAAACTCACAATTCACGTCGGGGAGGAATCCAGGCAGCTTTTCTGGGTCCCTCATGAGGCTGCAGTCAAGGTACCAGCCAGGACTGGAGATATCTCAAGACTCTGCTGGAAGACAATCCATGTCCAAGTTCCCACAGGTGGACCCATGGCCACGGTTGTAGGCCTCCAGTCTTTGCTGGATGTCGGGAGATCTGTTTCCTTGATGTAAGGGGTTCTCTGTCTCCCTACATGGCAGCCTGTGCTCCCCAGAATGAGTGATCCAGGAGAGGCAGAGCCAGTCTCCATGAAGGAATAAGGGTCTGCTGTAAAGTGCCTTCAGAAGTGACAGCTCATTCTGTTCTGTCTGTTAGAAGCAAGTCAGAAGTGTGGCTGGGACTTGGGGAGGAGTCCCAGGAGGTGGGAAACATTTTCAGTATTTTCATGGGGTCTTCCCTTGGAAAGCTTGGCCCAAATTACCTGGGGCTTCTTTTGAAGGCATTTGGGTGGTTCTACTACATGACCTTTCTCGCTGAAAACTGATCGTTCTCCCTACAGCCCAGACATCTTGTCTCTCCTATCTTGGGGTAAATCTTTGTCTTTTTGGATCATGCTTCAAAGATTTTGGCTTTGCTTAGTCTTAACTGTAGTATTCTTTCCCTCCTTTTCCCCCTCCTCTTTTCCCTTTCCTCCTCCTTGTCCTCCTCCTCTTCATCCTCCCTTCACCTTCTCCTTCCCCTCCCTCTCTCCTCTTTCACCTCCTCCTCCTCCTCCTTCTACATCTATGTGAGACAAGGTCCTGCTGTGCTGCACAGGCTTGCTTCAAATGCCTGGGTTCAAGTGATCCTCCCACCCCAGCCTCTTGCATAGCTGGAACTACAGGTGTACATCACCATTCCCCAAGATTTTTTTTTTTTTTTTTTTTGGCAGTGCTGAGTCAAACTCAGGGCTTCATACATGCTAGGCAAGCCCTCTATTGCTGAGCTATGCCCCAGCCTTAGGAGTTGATCAATAGTTACCAAAATCAGCAGAATTTCTATACCTCTTAACCTAGGCCCTCTGTTGGATTTTATTCAGACTTTCCAGTTCTGCTTGTGGCCTGTCCCTGTCTGATCTGTAGAACTAGCCCATTGGCCATGTCCTCCTATTGGATTAAATGTACAGCTGAAGCCCACAGCACTAGACCCTTGCTCAGGGAGCAAGAAATGGGGAGGGGGGTGGGGCAGGACTGTGGATCCTGACAGCACCCCTCCCCCCAACAGCAGCAAGTGGCCATTTATTTCTTGAAGTCTTTTTTTCTGCCCTGACAACAGCGAAGTTTATTAGCAATAGCAATGTCTGCTCAAAGCGCAAACAAGGTCGTGAATGTAGGAGCAGAAAGGGAGATTTGATCACAAAGGGAAAATACTTTTCTTTTCTTACAAATAGTGTGGGTGAGCCCTGAGGTAGAAAACTGTACAGCAAAACAATACCTACTATTTTCTTATCAAGGAAAATTAAAAATGCCCGTATCAACTAACCTGTCAATAAAATAGGGGCCATGCTCCTTGGAAATTTGACTAGGTTCTATCAAAATATAAGGTGGTAACTACAATGATTCATCTTTCATTGGCATATTCATGAGAATTTTTAATTTCTATGAAACCAGTGCACCAGAACTCACAACTACATATCTAAGGGGAAAATACAGCTCAAAATGAGTGAATAGAAAAAATTGTTTTGATATCCTTAAAGCCAGCCACTGCAAAGCCTGATGTTGTAGTCACTGGCAGTAGGTGTAGACTGGCTTTTATCCAGCACTGTGAAGCTTACATGAACCAGGGTCAAAAAATGGAGAACAATCTGAATTCAAAATTGGGGGGCTGGTGGCCAGTGTGAAAATGTTTGTGGGGTTACTGTAAATGTCGTGTTCAAAAGGTTGTGTCTGCAGTTTTATGGGCCTCCTCTCCTACTGCCCTTCCTCCAAACAAGTCCTCGAGAAGGAAGGGCAAACTTCAGAAAGATAAGCCATGGTAACACACCCCAACTTCAGGCTGACCCAGGCTCACTCTGCTCCTGGAAATGCATGTTTAAGCCATCAGCGTCCCAGACAGACTGACCAAGTGAGGTCGTTGGCTGGTGTACCAGCTAGATGGTGATGGCATTCCTCCAACAAGGAAGGACCTTGTACTGAATTAGGTGTCCCTGCAGCGTGGACAGAGCCACCTGAGGGTATGGCATCAGTGGGCAGACATGTGACAGAGTGATAAGGATTTGGGGTCAAAGTATTGTAGTTGTGTTTTAAGAGGAAAGGCTTCTGACTGTTTCTCCCTGGCCCTTCCTGTATTTCTCTGTATGACAGGAAAAATAGGGAAAATAAAAGCCAACCTCTAGAACTGTTGTAAAAATTGCATGTAATAAAGACTATAGAAGAAGTTTTATAAATATAGAAGCCACAATATGTAAATAAAATATTTTCATTGATTTATTACATTTTATAGAGGCTGCTCCCTTTGCTCTACCTCCTCACATTTCCCCCAATCTGTGATGAATTACCTAAAGCTGATCTTTCCAACAGTATTTAGGATCTTACATTTTCTCCTTCCTTATCAGAGAAACGGTCTCATCTGTTTCGAAGTCATTAATTCCCCCCTTAGCCCCACAGGTTTCTGCCCTCGAGGTTCAGCCACCTCCCTACCTCACCCCACATTAATTTATTTTTACTTAACCCTTGAAATAATCCATGTGAAATAATCCATGTGAAAACTCAGATGTCAGTAATGGTTCCTCATGGCCTCTGTGATAGATTCCTGAAATCAGGCCTAGTGACTTAAAAAGACAACTTGTTCTTCCACTATTTTTGCTCAAGCAGCTGTTCCACTTGCTGTTCCTGACACATTCTCCACAGAGTCCTCCCTCTCTGCTTCGCTTTCGCCATTTCTCCTACCAGTGGTGTCCTTCACCCTCCTTGCTCTGAATGGGGGTGTCCTGGTCAAGTCTTCCGGCCCCCTCAGAGCTTCCCACTGCCACTGCCCTAAGCGCCCGCAACACTGGTAAACATGTGTGACCTTGTGCTGCTTGTTCTCTTAACGTTACGCTGCAAGGCCTGGTGGAATTACAAACCCATTTTGGGTAGAGCATGTGTTTTAGCTCATGGGTTTCCAATACCAAGCCAACACAACCCAGTAGACACTCGTTCCACTCCTCAGCCAGTCCCGGCCTGAGGCACACACACAATACTCTGGACCACCAAAGGACTCTAGCTTCAATCAAGATAATTATTTTATGGGAAAATAAGTGTCCAACCAATAGATTTATTTATCCAGAAATTGAAACAACTACAATAATGCTCCTCCTCCAAGAATAATTTGTTCTATTAAAGAAAGTGCTCTGCCATGTACTTACAAGTTGTGGACATGATATTTTCTTATTAATCAGATCTAGAACAGGTAGAACAATGTGTCCAAAACCAAAGATTAGCCTGATTTCATTTTTAGTCTTTTTAATTTTTTTCCTCTGTAAAGTTAAAATTAAATGCAGTCAATGAAACTGTCAATATAACTGAGAGTAGCAACTCTTACTTTTTTCTCAAGTTATGAAACATCTTTTTTTTTTCCTAAAGGAAGAAGATCCTAACAATGCAATGGATAAAGAGAGACGAAAATCTTTAATAAAACCAAAATTGTCGAGACTGCAAAGAGACATTGAAAAAGCTTCCAAAGACAAGGAAGGTGTGTAATTATGTCTTTGAATGGGGCACGATTATCACACTTAAGGAACCCTGTTATCAAACCTAAGTTGTGAATGAAGGAGAAAAATTTTTTAAAAGAAGCAAAAAGTGTAAAATGACATTTTGGCCTATTTATGAGAGCTGTATATGTATTATACTACCATTTTAGAAATGTAGCCTTTTACTGGGTTTCTGAAATTGGCTGGAAAGAAACAATTTTTGTGATTTTAAATATGGCAAAAATACTGTGCGGTTTTGGCTGGTCCTCCCTTCCTCCCTTCCTTGCTCCCTCCCTTCCTTCCTTTCCTTCACCTTGTCCTCCTGCTCTTCCTTTTCTCTCTCTCCTTTCTTTTTTTCTTTCTACAGCATCTTGCTATATAGCTCAGGCTGGCCTTAACTCACTATGTAGCCCACGCTGGCTTGGAACTTGCAATTCTCATGCCTTAGCCTGCCAAGTTCTGGGAACACAGGTGTGTGCCACCTTGCCTGGCTTGTTTCTTTCTTTTTACTCATTTTGCAAATAGTGTAGAAACAAAATGAAATCCCATAATTGGAAGTTAAGCATATTAGAATGTAAAGCAACTCTAAAGCAGTGCAGACACTGAAAGCCGCTGTGCACTGTGATTCTAATATGCCTAGTTTCATGTGCACCGCAACAGTTCATTGCAATGTAATGCAGATAGGTAACCAAGACAGACAATGTTTAGTGGTGTAAGTAGAAAAATGAGGAAGAGCCTAACATTGTATCAATGTTAGGAATTATTAAAATGGGCCAACCAAAGGGAATTCAAAATCTCATCTTGAAAAAATAACCAGATACATTAAGCATCAGTGTTTCTCAAATTTCATTAAATGAAGATAAAGATAAATGAGCAGTCAGCCGATTTACCATTATCCATTTAGTAAGACTTAGTAACAGCTACATACAGAACTCCCTACCCTTCAGCCTTTTAGGTAAGCTACTAGTATCGCTTCCGGTTCAGGCTCCCTTTGAGGGTGACTGACCCCCCAACTATGTCCTAGGAGGACAGGATGAAAGGTGACCAATAGCATGGTTTCATTTTCAGGCCTGGAACGAATGCTTAATGCATACTCCAGCAACTCTTCCTTCTCCGATGAAAAGAGCCAGAAAGACACAGCGGCGTTAATGGTGGAGGTAAATATTTGCACAGTGCATTTAGTGATGAAAAGGTTATTTTTAGAATACCGGCTTTCCAGTCCATTCGCTGTTTGCCTTTCCTTTCTCATGATATGGAGCTACCTAGAGAGAGCTTATAGGGCCAGCGCCTTCATAGGTAGTTGGAGCAATCTGGAAAAATACAACTACATACAAGTATTTGCTCTAATGACTTGTCAAAGACCGACATTAGGAAAAAACACTTGTGTCTAAAATAGAATTCCCCCAAATAGATTTGTTCTTTAATGAAACCGTGTACATTTTAACCCAGTTTAGAAAAGTGATAGTAATGATGGTTTCACTTAATGATTTTTAAATTTTACAGTGGTAGAAAACCATACTCATATAACCATTCTGATTTTCACTTCCAGTATTTAATAAATGAAGAAGGGCAGAGGATAGGCCTGCTGGCCTTTTTATTGAGAGCCTGGAATCTAGCAGTCCCGCAGACATTCATAGAGTTGATGGACATTTTAGCTACTTTAGAAAACTTTCTTTAAAAGGACAGCTTTTTAAAATTTATGTGGGAATAAAAATGAACAGATACCTATGTGTGCAAGAGGTGGATTTTTGCTGTGATTTGAATGATCAGAAGAAGATTCAGGTTAATCTGAGAATAATTCAGGAAGAGAGAAAATTATTAGTGTTTGGAAGGATACAGGAACCTGGGTCAGCTTTCTTTACCTTGTTTTACCTAGCCCAACTCTTATGACGGTGGGTTACTACATTCTGGCAATGTCCACATGCTTCTGTGAAAGCAGCCAGCTGCAGCCAGCTATAGCTGCTCCATGTTTTTTAGCACAGGCTTCTTTAGCTGGGCGTCTGCTGCAGGAACAATCCCCATGCTTCCTGTGAAAAGCAAGGCCTGCATGTGTGCCCGGGGAACAGAGTGCTGACGCACTGCTGCAAGAATATGTGCCTACAATTCACATGAAACGATAAAACAGAGGGCGGGACATTTCCTGTGACAGCATGAAGTTTAGTTAACAAATTCAATGCAGCCAGGCATAGTGGCACACGCCTGTGATCCCAGCACTTGGGAGGCTGAGGCAGGAGGATCACTTTGAGTTCAAGGCCAGCCTGGGCTACATAGTGAGTTCAGGGCCAGCCTGAACTACAAAGCAAAACTCTGTCCCAAGAAAACAAAACAAAACAAAAATTCAATGCAAATCATATTTACCAAAATAAAGTCATGAGCATTTTACGATGCTATTGAATCACACATTCCTTTGGTTGTTCTTGCACAGAATTTTATCACGCTCATTACCAGCAGAGAGCATGTACTAGAACACAGAGCCCACACTAGCCTGACACACACAGAGGGGCAAGGACCTGACCCCTGAACTCAGGGGTTATGAGCTAGTGAAGGAGCAAGCAGGACCTTCAAGCAGTGGATGCCAAGCATCCCAGTGATTTTCTGACATGAGTCTGCATCTGGGTAGAGAGAAACTAGTCATGTTGGGAGATGTCGTGTTACCCAGGAAAGCTTTCTTGGAAAAGGAAACTTGGCTTTATTTAAATTCTTTTCTATCTCTTTGGCCCTTGGCCCTTGAAGTGCCACATTTGAATCAGGGGTGTTGGCAAGGCATGTTAAAGGAGAAATGCTGCAGAGACTAGAGGCACTTAAATTAGATATTGCCTGAATACTGAAAGAAGAATGGAGAAGGAGCTAGACTGGTTCTCTGATGCACCACAGCCTGGGTTTGATGGGAGGGGCTCTTGGCTTTGTGTTAGGTGAGCCTGCCCCATAATGCAGTGGATTGTACCAAGGATAGAGACCTTTTCTCTATTGGAGGAATTCAGTCCTTGGATGTGACCCCCCCGCCCCCAGCAGGGACATTAGGGTTAGGAATCTTCATGCTGGAGGCATAGAGAAAAGAGAAGTAATAGTGAAGAGGAGTCGGATAAGCAGGATCCTAGTTAGACTCTGCTGCTTCACCTTGTCTGATCAAAGCCTGTCAAAGAAGTAATTATAAAGTTGTAGTTCAACATCAAAGCAAGAATAAGAAGAGACTAGAAGTTTGTGTTCAACTTCACTCATTTTCATTTGAGACAGTCTTGCTATGTAGCCCAGCCTGGCCTCAAACTCATGATCCTCCTGCCTCAGCCTCCTGAGTGGATTACAGGCCGGTGCCAACATGACTGGCAAATGCTCCTTATTTTTAGAATCTAATACCCTAATAGAATATTATTTTCAGGTTTGAGAGTTTTACTACACACTTTCTGCATACTATAATATGCTACCTCTTCAAAGGAAGGGGAAAACAAAACAATATACATCCATTGCTGTTTGATCCTATTAATGTTAATTCAGCTGTTAAAACATTCAATCACCCTTCCTCATGGCCTTGGAAAGTGATCGACACTTATTATTTCCTTTCTTATTCCTCAGCCGAAAATTGCATAAGGCTATTCATTGCCACAAAATATCAGGTAATGTATCTAACAAGGTTTCTTCACCCTATTTACAAGAATACAGAGGAGGACATACTCAACTAGTAAGGCTTTTCTCTTAACTGCTTTAAGGGGTATTTTTCTTTCAAGTTCTTTCTTTTCCGCATTTTTGGTGCGTATCTATACATGAGGTGAATGCGTGCTTTTCTACACCCCCTTGTCATTTTGAAAGTCATCCTGATATCCCTCTATCTACCCAGTTGGGCCTCATTCTCTAGAAATTTACTCACATGGCCAAATGATGTATCCACAGAACAATTTGAAACTAGACCTTCTGCAAGCAAACTCCTATAAACTGTTGTCAGTATTAGCAGAACTTGAGCAAAGAACTAAACCCAGCCATCCCTGTAGCAACTCCATCTTCAAGTGGAAAGAAAAGGTAACGGAAGAGCCTGGTTGAGATTTCTTGACTGCATTTGCTAGGTGGAGCAGCTTAAAGTTGGATCAAGGCAAAAAAAAAGCTGTTATGAATCACATGTACAGTATGTCCCAAATTCTTATTGCAAAATTTTAAGATAAATTTATTTCATTCATTTAGAGTACATTAAAGAGCTAAATAAAATGGAATACATTCTTTGTAGACTAAATTACTACAATGAATATAAACACTTTGGATTCCTTTGCCCTCTTCATAGCTTATCTTTAGCCTTTGAATGTGTTTTTATAGTAAAAGTTCTATTACATTGAAATTTTAGTATTTATACAGACCTAAATTGTAGGACTTGGTGATACCCATTTATCTCATTTTACCATATTTTAAATATGGTGTGAAGTGCATAGTTTAACACAGTATATAATGTAGATGATATATGGTCTCAGAAATTCCTGCTCACATGTATCTTTCAAGTGGGGAATATTTCAGGAACTGGTGATTTCCTACCATGGGTAGCTATTGCTATTTTCTGTTACCAAACAGAAGGGAGAGCTGTAACCATCTTGTGGTAAGGGGACAGTATTCTAAGAGATTCAAGAGCTCTAAATGGTCTCAAACATTTAGACAGTGATAAAAGCCCATTAAAGTGAGATTAGAAGTAATGCTATGAATGTTATTATTTGGCCTAGAAATATAGATCTAAACTGGAAACACAGGGTATACATACTGTAATCGTCTAATTCTGAAAATAGCAACCCTTCAGAATCCAGAGAACTTAAACAACATAGTAAGGCTTGAGAATGTATCGAATAATTTATTTGTGTACCTTTTGCCCCAATTCAAAAAATAAATTCCTGAGTTACTTTTTATGACTACTTATGATAATAGTGTTGTTTGAAATGACTTATTCTTTTTTAAACTACTTGAACAGGAGCATACTCATACTTATGTAAAAATATCTCGGCCTTCTTTAACAAAGAGATCAGAGAATGTTTTGAGTAGGACATCTTCTGGTGGGCAGAAAAATCCAAGTTCTTCATCTTCAGGTAACCCGATACTTAGAATCATGTTGGGCTAAGTCCTATTGGTAAAGCACATTACTACATTTAAATATTATTTTCAGAGCCACCTTGACTGATATTTACTCAAAGAAATTTACATTTCATTTGGGACTTTGTTAGAATCTGTAATGTCACATACAGATGTAACACAAAAGTAGAAAGTCACAAAGAGTGGGTGCTGGGAAAAACATTTATCCACAAGAGAAGTCACTGCAGGTGTCGGGAGATGGCATCTACTCACTTTGACACCTGCTGTCCACAGAGTTGCCCTATACCACTGTGAGAAGCGTGGGGCTCTGTCTCCTAAACTTTCATAGATATTCCGCCTTCTCAGCAGGAAGCATGGTGACTAGGTGGTTTCTTAGGACACTTGGGCTTGAAATTCACAGCCTACTCACCCTCTTTATATTAAAAAGTCACCTTTGCATTGTTTGAGAAACAGTACCCTAAGCACTAAGGAATGACAATAAGAAACACATGCTTCAAATAGTCCCTATCTTTACCTGATTGGCAAAACTAGTGCATTTTCCTAACATGCTTGCAACTACATGAATCATTTAATGATGTTGACTAAACTCAAATGGAAAAAAATTTTAAGTTGCCATATTTATTGTTACAGTGACAACATTTTTCCTCAGACTTATTATTTCCTACATTACAGTACGGTTTTTGGATATATAGTGTAAACAATCTTTACACATAGTACGTATATCATGAATGCTTATTAAGTCAAGGAATGAATATTGGGTAAAATTATAAATTTTCCTTTTGAGACAATGTCAATATATTTCAACTCTGTGTCACACGGTTAAATAGTAAGAGTTCATGATCATGCTCATTTGCCTACTAACACAGCAAGCTAATTACAGTTTAATCCAACTTTTAGCCTCCAGTGCAGCCCAGGTTGGAAACAATCTTTGCAAGGCCTTATATTCTTTTCAAGCCAGGCAAGACGATGAGTTGAATTTGGAAAAAGGTAAGATGTAGTCTCAGATTATTTAATTACCTTCTTATGGTAAGATCCTTGATATGAATAAAATCCTGTCTTAGAACAACAGCCTTGACTACTAATACCAAATCAGTTGAGGTTTTATGATCACCTTTCTTAGAGGATAAAGCCCTGGAAGGCTACATAAAGCTCACAGAATGATAATGGCTAACAATTATGTCGTATTTCTCAGTACCAGACATTGCAAGTATTGTTCAATTTAATATTCCTAAAAACTCTGAGACAGGTGTTGTTATTTACTCCCATTTCACAGCTGAGAAGACTGAGGCAGAGAAAAGTTAAATACTTTGGGTAAAGTCCTAGGCAGTAGTGGCACAGGATTTGAACTCAGAAACTTAGTTATGCTTTTGATCACAGTGCTACACTGCACCAGGTATCAGTAATGTGAAGTCATCACAGAATAGCTCCATTTTTTTATGGAATGACTTCTCCTGATTTAGTGTAAGAGGAAGTTCTAGAATCTGGTTCAACAGACCCTCAGCTTAATGATTGTGGCACTGATCTCCCAGGAAAGTGTTTTATGGCCAGCCTAAAGATTCAGACCCCTTCCTTTGTATCACAGATTTTCACCCAACAGGCAAAGGCATCATGTTATGGGTTACATAGGCCTCAGCATTATTAAACAAGAACCAGTTTCCAGTCTCAACTCTATGTGTCCACATTTGGATATTAATGCCAAGGCAGGAAATGGAAGGAAAATGGAAACGGAAGGGTTTATGAGAAAGCACTGTGTAGCAGGAGAAAGCTTATTATCCATGACCTAGATATGGCTCCCAGAGTCCATGGAAACTCAAGATGGATTTTGCAGCCAAACAAGGATACTGAGCTTTAGTATTGTTTAGTGGAATCCTCTTTTTCAGTGTGTTGGTCAGATTTTTCCAGGCAATTATTTTTTCTTCTCTATGAATAAAAATCTACCTAAATAAAAATAAATAAAAATAAAAATGCCACCTAAAATTCAGGGGTCTTGAGTTTGAGTTACAGAGTTCCTGGAAAATGGGTTATCATGTTTGTTTTCAGTTCTTGGTTTTCAAAGCCCCCTTTTGCTTTATATTCTAAGTGGTTTCATTCAATAAAACACAATACTGAAGGCTGAGGGAAGCTAGCAATATAAGATCACATCAATTTTTTGAATTCTTGTTAATAAATTTTGTCCAACAATCTACTGACCTGAGAGAACTCCTTAGCAAGAGAACTCAGACTGAGAATAATTGCCTACAAGAATAGTGATTTATGACTAGGAAAAGACGGAAGGAGCTTTCACTGTTATCTTCACTTAGAAAGAAAATTATTAGGGAAAAGAGTGAAAGACTGAAATACTGGCTCAGAATAATGCTAAAGAAAAGTACACCTTTGTTTCCTGATGTTTTTAATTTGAGGTACAGGAAGTAGCCAGAGGGAAAGGATTCTCTCACAAGAGGGGCTTAGCCAAAGAATTTGGGGCATCAAGTTACTTTTGGGGCATCATGATTTTAAAAGAAAAGGAGAATTGGACCACAGATGGGTTTCTTATAATACTATTTATTTGAATCATTGCCTTAAAAAAGTATTATCTTTAAATTGATGTTTTGTTAAAGTTATCTAAACTGAAGAATGGAGAGTTACATTTCTATGCAGAGCTCAGAGTTAGAATTTTGGACTGTGAATTGGGAAGTAATGGAGTTGTTTAGATCTTAAGAAAACACTGTTAGCTGTGAACCAATCTCAGGAGTCAGCACACCAAATTATCACGGCCATCATCACATAAAACCCTGAAAGTACAGATACAGAAGAGTTTGGTTTGCTGGCAGCAACCTACCTACTCTACACCGAGTAAATCAGGCAGCACGAGGTCCAGTGTGATTCTGCTTTTCAGTAAACTATGGCATAAATCAGTTGTTCATTATTTCACCCCTTTTAGTATTCTCTAGATTATGCTTGCTTCATAAAGAGGTGTTCATTAAATTTCTCTTCATCTGAATCAAGCACAGAAAATGATGCAATCTACATTTATCACTCAAGCTCTAGCGTATGGTCGAATTGCATAATCCATTTGTCTAATTAAATGTGCATTCATTTTCACAGGAGACATTGTGACTATACATGAAAAGAAAGAAGAAGGATGGTGGTTTGGATCTCTCAATGGGAAAAAGGGCCATTTTCCTGCTGCTTATGTGGAGGAGCTACCTTCAAAGGCTGGGAGCACAGCTACACAGGCATAAACCAAAATTCTGAACACACTGCCTTCCACACTCTGTAAACTATACAATGTGCTGCAAAGAAAGCTAAGATGCTATTATATTTGCAAATTTTGCTTTTGCAATGGGTGGTAGAGTCCTGTCTACATGTCCAGCACTTTGTACCCATGGTAATTTGCTTGAAACAGAGTCAGATAAAAAAATGGATGAGTAGAGAGAGGCAGGGAAGAGGCTCCATGGTTCCAGAAGTTTCTGAATGCTAAGAGACCCTAGATATGACCCAGTATAACCCTTCACATAACAGCAAGAGATACTGAGTCTAGGGTGGGTTCAGCCACTTATCCAAAATCACAGTTACCTGATGGCACAATAGCAATTTTTAATGTCTGGACATGGGTGGGAGCAGGACACAGCAGGCCTGCAAGGGGTCAAGCAAGCCCTGAGAGATGCCAAAGAACACAGATCAAGTCCAAAAATAGTGACAGGTAAGCAAGTCACCAGTGAGGCAGACCCAGGTTAAGAGACAGTAGAATAAGAGATCAGGAGCCGAGCTCCAGAGTCCATGGGATGAGAAGGGGAGATGAGAGACAAGAAGTCTGGATCTTAGGCAGAGGGCCTCAAGGAAGAATGGAGTTTCACCCCGAGCCAATGGCCTTCTGGGCAATAGCTTCTCATACAGCCCCCACGCACCACCAATTGCTTGCTCATAGAGTTCAAGTGTAAGCCGGAAATGTCTGGGGATATGAGGACAAGAGCAAAATAGATGGAAAAGAACTAGGAGAGAGACAGTGCCTGTAATTCATGCCTCTTTTCCCATTTGAAAACATCTTTTATCAATTTGGATATAAGGAATTTTGCGCTTCCCAAAATGATGGAAAGAATACCTTAAGCAGCTCCCTAGTAAAAAGAACTTTAAATGCTAATAAATGTTTTGAACAGAAAGTCCTGGAAACAAATATTCACTATGAAAATGGAATATTTATGTAGCTTCCTCAAATGTCCTATGAGAAAAGCTTGGGAATGAGTGAAGCTGGCAGGCTGCACCTCCTTCCAGGGGAACAGTCTGGATGGAGATGTTACAGCAGGAGCTACACTGGCCTGAGATCACACACTCCATTGAATGGAAGGTCATGGAAACACCCAGGCATGTTTACTTTTGTGCCAAATAGAAAATCTGGGCTTTGGAACTTCAATGTGACTACTTAAGGAATAATTAAAATCCAACATATTATTCCCCTGCCCCCCTTTTTAAAAATCATCAAATTTTATACTTTCAAGAAGGAATTTTTCAAACTAAGGTACATAATTTTTATACTCTATGACATTACACTAGCACAGTATATAACTTGACACAATATTTATAGATGCAGATATCAGACCTCAAGGAACTCAAGTAAAATTTATTGTGTGAGACATAACTTACAGACTAGAACAGATCTGAAGTTTTAATGTCATCCTTAATGGTATATTAATGAAAACTTTCGGCATGTAGAAAGTTGGCTGAATAATAGGCCATTATACCATGAGCAGAGATTTTGAATTTATATTTCCTTTTCATCTTACTTCTTTCCATTAAGCCTTGATGGATGAAAAATTGTGTAGAAATTGATTGCCGCCTACACTGGACTATTTTGTATAAAGTGATGATAATGATGATTGGACCCTGAAACTCTCTGAAAGTAATTTTCAAAGAGACCTTTCTTCATGTATTGGTTGTATTTTAAGAAAATGTAAGTGGCTGTCTTGTTTCAGAATGTTGTTGCAAATTCTTTTTGCATCTCTGACATTTTTAACTTCAAAGAAATACTATGGACTTTAACTAAATAAAATATTCAAGTACAGTTGAAATAACAGACTTACTGAATACCTTTTTAGCAGGGCAAGAGTTTTCTGTTTGGACAAATGGAATGGTACCCCTTAGATTTAGGGCAAAAATAAATGCATATTGAATGAAGATTAATGATGTACCCAAATCTTCTATATAGAATAAAGTAATTTTTAATGTTAATGCTTTTATACTGTTAATTAGATTTTCACAATTATATGCCACTAAGCAGTTGCATATGTCAGGAAATTTTTAGCACCATTAATAACCTGAAATATAGGCTGTAGAGGCACAGCCTACTTTTCACAGCACACATAGATGTCATTCTACCTTATCTCCTTGCTAGTTGAGTAAAAGTTGATATATCCATTGTGCTATCAAATCGAAAGATCTACAAATTCCATTTTTTTGCATTTTCAATTACCCGTAATTAATACTCATAATGACAAAATGCCTCTTAATCACTTAAAGTGCCTTATGATCCATCAGAAAGTAATATAATATTCAATTTGGGGTAAATTTCATTATATGGTATTATAATCCTTTAACTGATTAGTAGTTTAAGTGCAGTTTAATTGTTTTCTACTCTAAGACAAACCAGCTCCCCCGCCTGAACACTTTGATAACCTTGAGGGATAATCAGCCTGTGAGCAAAAGAAGCACATTAGAATCAAAGCAAACATCTCCTCTTGTCCTTTACAATATCACATGGGAAGAATGCTCACTGGGGAAGACGGGCCTGGGTGTGTGGGGATGAGAAGGTGGAACTCAGACTTGGACCAGAAGGTGGGGACACAGCAGAGTAGGGCAGGTTCCTTTTGCAGGATGCCCAGGTCAGTGGCCTCTCATCCTCCATTCCCACAAAGACCCTCGTGGATGAGCCCTGAGACTGTTCCCAAGGGGCAGTCCCAGGTGGGGCCTGAGGCCTCCCTCTAAGAAGGAGCTAGGAGCCTCAGCTCAAACTGGGCAGGTTCTTGACTCTTGTGATAGGAAAGAATTTCAAGACACATCAGTGAGAGGTAGAGATTTATTTGTTAGGGAGAGCTCAAGAAGTACACACTCAGAAATAGAGCAAGGTGGCCAACAGTCTGGCATTGGGGGTATATATGTGGTCTTGGAGCCTTTAAGGTAGGTGATTTAGCATGTTTATTCTTTGAGTCATTTACCATTTACCTGATGTCTGTTTACCTAAGGTCAGTTTGCCCATCAGAGGGTTAAAGCAAAAACTGACTATCAATGAAGTTAAAATATAAACTGTTCATGTGTTTGAAGTTAAGAGATATGTTACCCATTGAAAATGGAAGTCTTTGCTGTAATTTTGGAATATATGGACTTAATCTCTGAAACTCTTGAAAATTTAGGAGCAAAGAGCCTAGGAGAAAAACAGGCCTAGGGATTAAGGTATGGGTCACCTTGGTAACTTCAATTATGTTTTAAGCTGTAATTTCCTCAAAGCTACTTTGTCTCCTTCCTTCCTATCTTTAATTCTTCACCCTACCTCAGCCACCACCAAGGTTCTGAACACCAGCTACTCTGCCCAGTTTCCCTGAGATACGCAGCTGCTTTCCATTTTAATGAAACCATTTTTTGACAAAATATATTCCAATGCTTTCAAGACAGTTTACTTTTTTCTTAATCATTATACTTCTATAAAAACATGAATTATATAAGTTCAAATTTGTTTAGAGTCTTTAAGAACAATGTCATCACATAATTTCCTTGCAATATAGAAAGGCAATACAGTGTAATCTAGGTAAAGTTGAAGGGTTAGGGTGTCAGGCTGCCTTCTGCGTTTGAATACTGGGTCTAACACTTACCAGTTGTGTGATTTGAAGTTACTTAAACACAGTTCTTTGAATTCCTTATCTGCAGAACAAAGTTAATGATGGTATCTACCTCACAAGTTGAAAGAATACAAAGGATCACATACATAAAAAGGACTTAGAAAAGTACTGGGCTCATTTAAATGCTGAAAAATATTAACTAATTATTCTAAGCTGGCCAGCCCTACCAGGCTAAAAGGCCTGGACAATCATCAATTTTTGAATGAGCCAAATTCTCTGTTAAGGAAAAAAATGAATATAAACTTCCATGGCCCAAGGCCCTTTGTTTGCTGTGACACTTTTCTTCGTAAATTCAACTTTGGAATCCAGCGCCAAGGCTGGTCCCGCAGTTTTTGTAGTTGTTCTACAGATTCTGCCCCAAACCCAGCCCCCATTTAGGAGTGAAGGATGGAGAGAAATGGGCCTAAATGGGGAGCCCCTCATTTCTGTTCTCAACTTTATGAGTATGACTTTCTCTGAAGAAGTTGCAGAAGATCCTGCAGACTTTTCAACCTTGGCCAGCTACAACATCACAATTGTGGAGAGATAGAATGTTGTAGGTCAAGAACCAAAATTATCTTGGACTGTCCTAGGCCCTTTAAAAAGCCATGTTCCCTCATTTTTGTACAGCTTAAATAAGGCCAAATATGAAAACATGCCCATGAAACTTAGATAGCTTGCTCACTGTTCTCCTCCTGTTGAAACAGTCTCAGCTGGGAGCTGTGGCACATGCTTATAACCCCAGCTACTTGGGAGGCTAAGGCAGGAGGAATTCCAGCTCAAGGCCAGCCTAGGCAACTTAGCAAGACTCTATCTCAAAATAAAATTTTTTAAAATGTCTGGGGATGTAGCTCAGTGGTAGAGCATTTGCCTAACATGAGTGAGGTCCTGGGTTCAATCTCTAATAATACACACACACACACACACACACACACACACACACACCTCTCCTTACTGCAGTTTTACTTTTTGAAGTTTCTATTATCCATGGTCAGCTTCAGTCCAAAAATATTACATGGAAAAATTGCAGAAATAAACAATTCATAAGTGTTAAACTACAGCATTCTAAGTAGTGGTGAAACCCGGCACTTCACACTCCGTCAGGTGAGTAATCTTTGTATGGCATAACCATGCTATCTACCCTACCTACCTCTCAGTCCCTTATTAGTTGCTCCTGCTATCATATCAACTCTTGTGATACTGTAGTGGTTGTGTTTAAGTAACCTTCATTTTACTTAATAATGGTCTACTTTATTGTTCTATTAATAACTTTTATTTTGCTTCATTATTGTTAACCTCTTACTGTGCCAAATTTAGAAAGTATAATTTATCATGTGTGCATAGGAAAAAACCTAGTATAAAGTGTTTGGTATTCTCTGTGGTTCAGGCATCCACTGGGGGTCTTGGGATGTAATCTCCCTGTGGACTAAAGGGAACGAATGTACTTCCTTTGGCCAAGCCCATGCTGACACAGGATAAGCCTACTGCTAGTTGCACACATCCAGATCTCTAGCATAGCCTTTAATCCCTACAGAGACAACCCCAAACAGTGGTTCCTAAAAGCTGCACACTAGTATGGGTCGTCGATAACATTCCCACCAGTCCAAAGCATTCTGCTCAAAGTTCTACTGCTTATCTGAACAGAGCCCAGAACCGCATCCTAGGCACAACTGGAAATTCCATTCTCTTCCTACTCTCACTAATAGGACCATTCACCTGAACTTCCCCCCCCCCCCAGACTATCCAGGGAGAAAACAGGAGAAGCGACTAGAGACATGGAGCCCTTTGTTCCGACATAGCCTCAATGTGATCAAATTTACAAAGGAAGGATAGGGAAGAAAATAAAATTCTAGAATAAGTTGACATGTGGTCTAGACTGTGTTAAATGGACTCTCAAGATGACATATTTAGATGAGAATTAAATGGTATGAGCTTTACAACAATAGAAATTATAGATTTTTACATTTGAATTTTCAAAACTACATCCTTTTCTGAAACCTTAGCAGTATACAGGCAACATTCTTTGAAGTAAAAGATTATCTTTTATCCTAATAATAGATTGCTCTTAGTGTAAGATAAAATATTCTTTTTTAATGACATTAAAAAGGACAATAGTAGATAGCAGTGTTTATTTTGCTCAAGATTTTGTGTTTGTTTGTTTTGGGTTTTGGAGATTTACTATGTAGCCCAGGCTGGCCTAAAACTCTCAATCCTCCTACCTCAACCTTCCAAGTTCTGGGATCATAGGTGTGTGCCACCATGCCAGGCACCAAGTATTACTTTAAAAGTTGGGCCAACTCTTTTAATCTTTTAAATATTAAGAATCCTTGACATTTCAAAACTTAGAGACACAGTGAGGTTGTAAAAATTCTCATTCCTACTATTAGCCATAAATTACCCTATGCCAGACACTTAACTAAAAATAAATATACATTAACCATATTTTACTTTTATCATTTTCCCCCTAAGAATTTAATTTAAAAAATACACCTCTCATGGAGGAAACATAATTTTTATGCAACCCTCATAAGTTCATGCTTGGGACAGAGGCCTTATAACAAAGACAGGTTAACATGAGAAAAACAAGCTATTTATTAACGCATGCAGTGCACATCAAACGGGAGACACCCAGTAAAAGGTAACTCAGAGCAGTAGGCTCACAAAGAACAGTAAGGTTTTCAGAAAGTCACAAGACAAAGGAGAGCAGCTTTATCCCCCAGATGTGGAGAACTGTGGGAAGGTAAGTTTACAGGTTTACGGGAGTGAATGATGGAAGCAAGCTTGTCTGGAGAGTCCCCCGGTGCCAGTGCCGCAGCTGAGCTAACAAGAGTTCTCTTCAGTGATTAACTTCTTTCCTTCCTTGTAGACCTGGGAGATGGGACAGCTTTACAGTGTTATCCCCTGCCTTCAGGCAAACGGGGAAGGCAGAGCTTCCCTGACTCTGCTGCTGCTTAATTGTCTTCAGCTCAAAATATTTGTGTCAGAGAGACATATTTGGGTGATGCATTCTGCTTTGCTTCATACCACATAGAAACATCATAAAAACACCAAAGACAAGAATCCTTTTATAAAGAGATACACAATAGGAAAGAAAAACAAACTATTTTTAGGCACTATTTATACATTAATTATAAACCATAGCAGTAAAAGCTTTCCGAACATTGGCAAGAAAAGCTGAAAAATTGTTGGTCTTCCTTACATTCTCTTGGAATTCTGCTAGGCACTCAAGATGAGGAGCACTATCTGACACTAGAAGGAAAAAAAGTGAAGATAATATAAATGAGAGGGCTTTTTTGTGTACATGGGAAAGAAGTATTTTTCTACTGTTTCAGTGTCAGTTATACGCTACTGAAATGCTTTGAGCATAAAACGAGACACTCGATTTTCATATGCCAACTCTCTTTTGGACTTTTGTTTAATCTCTAAATATTCAAATCTTAAGTATTACAAAACTGCTTTAATTTAAACAGATGGTATTCAAAGGATTGGAGCTCAGTGATACAGAATGCCATTTTCCATCATCTTGGGCCTATATACATATGGTTTTAAGCTATTTAAATAGTTTTAACAGTTTATTTTAACCGTTAAGCCATTTTTTCTCTGCAAAACTTCGATCTGACTCCTAGCCACTGGATCAAAAAAGAACAACTTTTAATGTCAATCCTCAATAATTTACATCAGATCTAAAGTTCTACAAGTGAAATGAAAGTCATTGCTATTCCAAGAGTGATATTTACTAATCCTATTAACTAAATGAGACTCAAATCACAAATTGCAGCACGGTCCTCAGTAGCCATGCAGCTGGTACCACGAGGGTCTCCAGCCAGGGTGGTCAAAGGCAAAGAATGATCCCACACTCTCTACCATCAACCTTGTCCTTGCTTCAACGGGAAGACATGTGACTGCATCAGATTCCAGCTCTTTGGTAGAGTTTGCTTAGGAAACAAGGAGCCTGACCAGAGCAGAGAAAGGACAGCAGAGAGCACTCGGCTCAACATTTATCCTATGGATTGCATTTTAATATATTATCAAAGACTATGTGATAATGTGGTAATACAGGATACACAATTTAGAGAAAACTGAAAAGCTAGGTAAGAGGTTTGTTGGGTTTGCTTTTTAAACTCTAGCATTCAGATGGGGGAAAAAGGGAAAAACAAACAAACATTTGTAGATGAATTTGATTCTCAAAATATAAATTCTACAAGGAAAGTAACTGAGTCACCAGGGAGCCAGGTTAGCAGCTCACCTGAGTGTCTGTCAGTTAAATGCTTTAAGACAAGAGCATATGTCTAATGATCGATTTTATGAATTCTAATAAACTATGAAGGATTATTGGCACGGGATTAAAAGAATAAGAAAAAGATAAATATATTTCCACTCTCTAATTGTTCACAATACTATAACCACCTATAATTCCTGTAAGTCAAATGCCTTTTTCCCTGCTGCAGAATGAGTAACTAACCTATAGGATCAATGTGTGGGATTTTCAGATAGTTTCTTGTTGTTGTTTTGAAACTTATTTTATGGAAGGTAAATTATCATATTCTAATTATTTTACATTTGATTTTAAAGTCACCTACTTGGCTAAGTTCTGGTAGGCATATGTTTTATAGCTTTAGTTTTATTTTAAGTTCTCTAAAAGTGTAATTCGTATTCACTTATGAAATGCAGGGATCTTTGTTCCTTTAGACTTTTCAGCTACTGTGCACTGTGCCATCCTGAAGAGATGTTAAAGCAGGCTCCTAGATAATATCTATAAATCAAAACTACACTCACATCCGTTAGAAGACAATATCTCAAGAAGCAAGACTGAAAAAGGAAACTTGGGGGCATGTTACTTCCCTTCATAGTCCTTTATATTCTGATTCAAATAACACCTGAGGATGCCAATTTTAAACACAAGTTAAGAAATATGAGTACATACCTTCATAATCCCCTGCTTCATTCAGATGCAGGGAAAACATAAAAGGGTTTTCAGGATGTTTAGGGTCAATATTAGTGAATATAAACTGTAATTTATCCCCTGAAAAAAGAGATTAAATTATTTAGTATGAGAATATTTTGTGTCAAAGCTATCTAGGGAGGTAAGTTTTCTTACCCCTTATCTTTGACCAATACTTGCAGTGCTAAGTATATGTATCCACTAAACCAACATCTCCAAATGTAGAAGTTACATTGAAATTAAAAACTTGTCCTTCAAAAGACACTATCAAGAGAATGAAAAGACAACTCATTAAATTGGAAAAAATATTTGTAAATCATATATCCAGTGAGACTTCAATACATACAATATGTTTTTTAAACTACATTTGAACAATAAAAAAGTGACACAAACAGATAACATATACTAGTTTTCATAGCAGCATTTTTCAAAGTAGCCAAGTGAAAAAACTCAGCATCTTCCAATAAATGAACTGATCAAAAGCAGTATATATAGGATCACTGCTCTGCCCTGAAGGAATGATGCTCTCACACACAATACAACATGCAATAAGCCTTGAAAACATAATACAAAGGGAAATAAGCCAGACACAAAAGGACAAGTATTGTATGATTTCACTTGTATAAAATAGCTAGAATAGGTATATGCATAGAAACAAAACATAAATTAGAAGTCATTAGGAGTTGGGGGAGTGAGGAATGGCCAGAATTTCTTCTTGGGTGGTAAAAAACTTTGGAAATGATTTGTCATGGTTGCAAAACATTGTAAATGTAATCAATGTCCCAAACTGCACACTTAAGAATGGCAAATTTTATGTTATATAAGTTTTACCATCATAAAAAAAGTCAAATTGGACATTTGTCTAGTTACCCAGACTTAGTCAATTTTCCAAAAGACCTTCAAATGCTCCCAAAGGAGATTTACTCCGGATGGAGATTCATGTCAGCTGCCACAAAATATAAATTCATGTGCATCTTGGTTTCTTCTATAGTATAAAAAATTAGGAACTCTCACCAGGCATGTTGGCACATGCTCATAATTCAAACTACTTAGGGGACTGAAGAAGGACAAATTTGAGGTCAGCCTGGGCAACTTAGTGAGACTGCCTCAAAATAGTTTAAAAAAAAAAAAAAGAACTGGAGATGTAGCTTCCTGGTACAGTGCTGGCTTAGCATACGAGAGTGAGGCCCTAGGTTCAATCCCACCCATCCCCCAAGAAAATCTTATCAAAAATTAATAGGTATGAAAAGAAATCCTAAGAAACTTTGGAAAAACTTGTCTTGCACTGAACTTCAGAATGAAATAATTATGTCAGTACACCAGATTTTTGAATTGTTAATAGTAATAGGGAGGATGCATGCCAAGGGGAAAAGATTTCATGAGATACAAGAGACTCAGGCAAAATGAAGCGTTTAATTTGAATTTACTCTTCCTCTTAAGATATGAAAGAGAAAAAGCTAAAGTGCATTTGTTCTTTCTCTCACTCAACAATCAACACAGAGCACTTCTGTGGCCACTTAGGGGTCCTGCAGTGGACCTCTACATACCTTCTAGCTCAATTCAGTTCCGATTCTATCTACTTGGACATAGTGCGCTGCCACCCTCCCTCCTTGGGTTTGGTTAAGTTGCTTGAGCCGCTCGCAGAGCTCAGGGAAACACTTGACTTGCATTCACCGGCTTGGTAGGGTATTACACAGGATGCAGATGAAGAGATGGACAGGGCAAAGGCAAAGCAGAAAGGGCGTGAAGCTTCGGGGGCTTCTCCAGACACTACCCTCTAAAGTCCCAGAACTCAGTCTTTTTACAGAAGATCCTTTGTGTGGGAGGACTGATAAAAATCACTGGCCACTAGTGATCAGCCAACTCAGCCTCTCTCCCTCACCTCCCCAGAGAGTGGAGGGTAGGCTGAAAGTCCCAGTGCCTTAATCTTGCCTTGGTCTTTCATGTCAGGAGACTCCATCGAGAAGCTAGAGGAGGTCAGCCATCAGCCAACTCATCAGCATACAAAAGCCACATTTGTCACTTTAGGGTTCCAAGGATTTCAGGAGTCCCATGCCAGGAAACTGGGAGGCAGACCAAAGAGCTATTTCATAATATCACATTTCCTTAAAACATTATTTCCTGACTTTGATGACTATGATAAAGTTCTATTTTTAGTCTAAAAGTGATTTTAAAGTCTTAAAATTGGCTATTTAATACAAAACTAAACAAGAAGCACCCCAGGATAACAGCGAATATTCACTTAGAGTTGAACACATTATAAGTTCTCATATTCCCGTTTTATTAAAAACTCACCTCAACTGATAGACGAACACTAAGACTAGCAGATATACAAGTAAAGGACTCAAGTAGCAAAGAAAGGAATATAATTAGTAACCAAGTAGAAAAAAAGTCACTTTTTCCTTAAAAGGAAAGAAAAATTGTTTTTTTTAAATATAAAAGTTCTATTAATGTCCTGTCAGCTGCCAAAAAAAGAGAAAAAAAAAAATTAAAAAAAAAAATTCTGGTGATAAGAGAAAAATTCTGAGATGTCCTAAATTTAAGTATAAGGGTGGGGAATTTGGAGTGGAGGTGAGGAAAAGATAGATGGGTGAGATTAATTAGTTAACAAGCTAAGGCAAAAAACAAAACCAAAAAAAGCTATGAGCCAAGAACAAATGACCACCTCACATTCTAGAATGTGTTACAAACCTAAATCCCATCACCATTCCCTAGATGCCACAGCCTGGTTACAACCCAATTGATCCAAAGCAGCAATTAAGGCTTCTCATGGACTGCCCTCCTATCCCAAAGCTCCCCCACTTTTATGTAATCCCACCCCATAATTACAACCAGTATAGGTTCAGTGCAACTTATGTCTTCTTTCCCCAAATTTTCATTATTAAAAAAATCCTCTTAGCACCTTCCTGGTAAGTATTTTCCCAAATGCTACCTGCTCCTGCTGCTGGTGGCAGTGGGAACTTGTCCCAGGACCTGTCTTTTCTTTCTGCTGCATCTATAACAGCTCAATATATTTTTTATTTCAAAGATTGCTCAATCTGGAGTTTTGCTTTAACACTGTCAAGAATACAATGAAATGAGGGCGGGGGATTTAGCTCAGTGGTTCTGCCTGCCTCACGAGTGCAAGGTCCCGAATTGGATCCCCAATACCAAAAAAAAAAAAGAATACAATGAAATGAGTTCTCTTGGACCTTATAGAAAGGTATGCAGAAAGAGTTAACAATACAGGCCTGAGACTGTTAGCCTTAGATTTTTAGAAAGCCAGCCCTACTTGCCAAGCTGGGCCCTTGGCTGGTGTGTTTTGGGTTCCCAATATCACCTTAGGTTTGATAATTGACTAAGACTTGCAAAAGGACACAACAAAGTCAGCAAAGGGATCAAATATGTGGAGTAAAGTCCAAGGAAAACCAGGCACAAGCTTCCAGAGTAGTCTCTGAGTTTCATTCACATGAGTTGTCACAATTTGATGCTTAAAGAAATTGTGTCCTGTGTGATTCCACTGGGTTTTTAAAAACTTGTGCCTAGTTTCCTCTAGACTTTGCATTGTGTGCCTTTTTCTTCTGATCCTGTTTTCCATCCTTTCACTGCAATAATTCTTAGCTATGAGAATGATTACAGTAGTCCTCCCTTACCCATGGTTTGAGTTACCCACAGTCAACTGGGGTCCAAAATTATTCAATAAAAATTCCAGAAATAAACAATTCACAAGTTTTAAATTGTGCACTGTTCTGAGTAGCATGATGAACTCTCATGCCATCCCATTCTGTCTGCCATGATGTGGATCATTCCTTTGTCCAGAGTATCCACTCTGTACATGACCCCAGCAGTTGGTCATTTTGTAGCTGTCTCAGTTATTAGACTGACTGTCCTAGTAACAGTGTTTGTATTCAGGTGAACATTATTTTAATTAATGACCCTAAAAGTGCAAGAATAGTGATGCTGGTAATTTAAATATGTCAAAGAGAAGCTAAAAAGTCCCTCCCTTAAGAGAAAAGGTAAAAGTTTGTCATAGGTTGTATGTATAGGAAAAGAGATAGTATGTACAGGATTCAGTACTATCTGCAATTTTAAGTATCTACCGGGGGTCTTGGAACACATCTACCCCATAGATAAAGGAGGATACTACAAATGCAGAGTCCTCCTAGTGACTCAATCACCAAACCTAGAGGACCTTGGGGAGCCTGAAACAAGACATTGCTATAAATTAGCACATATACATGGAACACCTATAAAAATATTCATGTGCTTTAAGCTAGTAATTCCTGAGAATTCCATGGAAATTATTTTTAAAAACCCCAAAGAAACAGGGAAGTTGATGCTTGGTATAGTATTTCTAAAACTGAAAAATTAGAAGACTCCAAATGTTGTTAAAAGCAATGCATGTTAAACATTCAATAAAACAATGTTATACTACATTAATGGAATGAATGATTATACTACTATTTAAAAATTACCAGTATTAAGACTAGTAACTGCAGAAATGCTAAGAACAAAAAATGAAAATTATTTGCATGTTGACAACCATGCTAAAAATATTCATTAAAATATTGAATAATCAAAGCATCTAGTTATGCTTCAGTGATAAACTGATTTTTTCTTATTTTTTAAAAAGCTAATAATGTGTTCATTTTAGTTCAAAATATTTTTAAAATCCTCTACTTAAGACATGTTTTCTAATCTCTTATATTTATATATTTATTACTTATATTAATATATTTACCATAAATTTTTCTAATTTCTAGTCCAAGTCGATCTTTATACAAGTCTGCTGACTTCTGCAGCCTTTTCAACCTTTCTTCATTAGCTTTGTTAGCAGTGGAAATAGCTGATTAAAAAACAAACACACCATATCAAATATCTCAAACAACTCAATTAATGCTCATTGAATTGATTCTAAGAAACTTGAACACAACCATAAAAATGATGCCAGGCATATGAATCTGTTTAAATTTAATGTTTCTATCTCTACTGATTAACAAAAGGGGCTTCTGTTCATTCAAGATGGAAGGAAAAGTTGCTTGAAATACAGATAATTAGGCCAGGGATTTGTGTGGCGAGAAGAGAAGCAGACTTCATTTTACGCAATTCTGATTTTTCTAGATAGACAAAGATAGACTGATTGGTTCATGGAAAAAAAAAACCCATTCCTTTAGGACTTACTTTCGCATGAGAAAGGAGCCTTTTTTCATATTAGTTTGAAATTTTATTTTTAAGTTAGCACAATAATCCCTAAGTAATCCTTGGTAGATGAGAAAAATAACTTCACAATTGGTCTGGGATGAGAAATTTACAAAATAGCACAACTAACTTGGTTATTTTCAAGACATTTGAAGAATTGAATATATAGTCTGTGGGCAAACAAGGCTCCTCTCTAAATGAAGCATTCATTTGGATATGAGTTGTTTTTAGCAATGAGACTGCAGCATAATGAGTGCTTACATCAAGTGGCAGAGAATGTGTAGGGTCAGTAAATACTTGTCGCATAAATCACACGAAAGCAAATCTCATTTAGTGACATTGTCTCCTACCATTTAATTAAACCTCTCCTATCTCAAAATATATGCATTGAACCCCCAACCCCCAGTATGAATCTAGGTGGGGAGGGTAGGGAAAGGGGGGATAATACGAGGTGTCAACATGTTCAAAGTATGTCACGTGTATATTCAAATCTGCCATAATAAAATCCATTAATCTGTATAATCAATAAAAGAGTAAACAAAACCCCTCATATCAATGTTGTTATATTCTGATTTAACAGAAATTAAAGGAAAAAGTAAAACAAAAGAAATCAAATCCATTTAGGTAACTTTACTGACATCTTTCAGAGATGAGAGGCTGTCTATGCCCTGAGGCATGTCCTCTATGTCTAGCAACGAAGCAGAGTAGACAAAGATGTACATAATCGTGAGCCAATTCAGCACTTTGAAAGTTAGATTATGTTTTTAATATGTTTATAACTGGAAACTTACTTTCCTTCTTCCTAGAATATTCTTCTTTAAGATCCTGAATATTTGCAGTTAGGACTTCCAGTTCCTGCTTTTTGTCTTTTACTTCAGCAATCAACTTTAAAAGATTATCTTTCTTTTCTTGAATCAGCTTATTCTGCTTGCAGACCTCTGTAAGAAGCACATGGTATAAGCTGCAATACAAATGCTTTGCTCTGACATGTAGCTAAGAAAAAGACAAACATTTCTTAACTGCATAAGACTAACAAAGAATGTTTTGATTGATAAGCATTTTGAAATGAGTAAAAAATTATAAAAGACAGAAAAATACAAAAATTCTAATCTATTCTACTTTTCATTGAAAACAAAAATGAGGCGATAGAAATGCTTTTTAAAATGAAAATACAAAATTAAATCATGAAGTAGAAAATCAGAAGATCATGACCTCTGAGTTCCCCATTCCAAACAAAAAACAACCAAACTCAAGAAGATGGCCTTTTAAATAGCTTTGAAGAAATAGCTAATTCTAATACTACAGAACTCATTCCAGGACATACTAGGAAAATAAAAGGAAAAGAAGGCAGGTAGGCAGGCAGGCAAATCATACTCAACAAATTCATAAACTAAAGCTCAGTAAAAATAACACTGCCCCTCCACCCAGAACCATATAAACTAACCTCACTTAAAAACACAGATGTCAAAATGCTTAATAAAATATTAACTTATATAAAAATTATCTACTAAAAGTAAATAGAGCTGGATATATAGCAGAGGTATAGGAAAATTAGGAAAATCCATCACAACAGTAGGCATTGAAAAGATATTTTTTATGAATTTGGCAACCAGTCCTGATACTGATTCTCAAACTAGACACAGAAACACATTTCTTTAACATGACAGAAACAAAAAACTTTTAAATTTTATAATATGCTTAAAGCAAAATACTAAGTCATTTCCAAAAGAATAAACAGAATGCCCATTATCACTGTTAGGTAATATTTTCCCTAGAAGTTTCTGGCCAATACAAGATATATAGCTGATAAAACTACTGAAAAGGAAAAGATATATATTAGACATCTACCTAGAAAGTCTGTAATAATTTATAGTACTAAATATCACAAAATCAATAGCTTGCATAAATAACAATAATGAATAAATAGGTGAGACTAGTTGTATTTATGCTGATATTAATGACAGCATATTTGTTTTTGCTGTTGCATGCTACTTTTCAGTATCAAAATACTACCTTTTATAGTTAACTTAGATATTAATCAGGACCTCATTTTCTCTCCTTGGCTTTAATCCTTCCACCTTCCCTAACTGGCCCATGTCCCTGTCACTGCCTACAAGCCCTCCTGGCCCTCTTAACTGCTCAGCTTCTACAGCTACCAAACCCCTCATACACATGATCAAAATAAAAACAGTAACAAAGCCTGTACCTAAACCTGGCCAGACCTCTTTGCTGGGAGAGAATAACCCTGGCACAGCCACTCTCACTTCTGTTGGCTGGAAAACAAACACAACTGCTGTACGTGGGGCCCAATGCATAGGGACAGAGGTCCCCAAAGTGCCAATGAGGAGGCTAATTAGGGCAGGGCAGCACTAAAAGCCAAAAACTCTAGAGCAGAGGGTACTGAGATCAAAAAAAGAAAAACCAATAGAGCTTTTGAATATACTTCAGAATTTCTGAATTAAATTACTAATATTTAAATGAAATTGGAATACTTTTAAGGTGTCATTAACCAGTAGCCCTGCATTATTTTTAAAAAACCAAAATATCTATACTGTCATTTAATTCTGGTATTGTAATTAAAAATGAGTATGTGCTCCAAGGATAACTGATGTTAGGAAACATTTTCTTAAATAGGTTTGTCCCTCACAGAACTTCTGGAGACCTTAAATACCATGAATCTTCCAAAGGGAAATGACACTCTGACCTGTTTCCCAAATTAAATTAAACCAACCATGAAATTCTTTGCTGCAGGAGCTTCTGTCAAGACTGATATTCCTCAGGAAATGAGGAAGTTGATGAACAAAATATTCAGGAAGAATCTAGGTCAAGAAATATATAGGCTCTCTATGAAACAAACTGTAAAACTTGCCTGAGACACATATTTGACCTGGATATCTGGAGTGACATTTTATGATGCTTCTGAATATCATACAGATGCCAATATTTCCCAAATTCACTTCTACATTTAATATAGTCACAATACAGAACAGTGGAGGGCAAAGGAAGATCTAATAACAGTTATTATTAATTTGCCTGACAATACAAAGGTGACAATAGTTCGGAAGATATTGGAGGAAAAGTAACAAGGACAGGAACTTGCCTGTCAGATGTAGCATTTGTGACTGAGGCACAGTACAACAGTGGGTACTAGTTGAAGAACTGACACACAGCTCAATAAAACAAAAAGACATTTACAATGTTACTGTATTTAAGAAGTTAGTATGATAAAGGAAATATCATCAGGGATCAAGAGGGAGATTATTGCCTAAACAGTGCTGGAATCCAAAATAAATTCCATATTAAATACTTAAATACAAAAGCTTATAAAATCTGAAAAGTGGCATCTGTGAATATAAAATTAATTATATGGAGAATGATCTTTTTATTCAAAAGCAAAAAATAAGTCAAAGAAAAAGGCACATGTTGGCTACATAAAACTTGACATGTAGGTGAAAAATTTATATTTGATTCCAATAAGAATAAAACATATACTGGGTACTTTGTTCAACACCTTATATTTATATAAATTTACTTAGGGTTCACAATAATCCTATTATGCAGGCCTTATTTTCTCTTTAAAAGAAAGGGAAATAGACAACAATTCAGTAACTTGCCTGAGACTATACTTGCTAGTATGCAATAAATAATAAGACCTGGATTCAAACTCAAGTCTTGACTTCAAGGGCAATAATTTTGGCTGTGAAACTATTCTCCTCCAACAATGGGTTACTATTTGTATCTAGAGAAGACACAAATACAAGTTCCTCAGGGGAGTGGGGAGGATAGACAAAGGGGATAAACAGACAAAAAACAGACTGTAGATGGCTAATAGATATGAGAGATAATTCAATCTCCTTGGTAATCACAGAAATGCAAATAAAACAATAACAGCAATTTTCATTTATTACAACATGTTTACAAAAATAATAGGGAGTGTCAAAAGGAATGCAAAGTGCTAGAGTCCTGGAAAGTATTTTTTGACACTGTAAAACAAAAAAAAGCCTTAAGGATACTTGTGTCCTTTGATCTAGCAAGTTCATTTTTACAAAGTTGCACTAGGAAAGCAGGATACATGCAAATATTCATATCCAAAAATGTTTTTCAATGTTTAAGATGAAAAACTCAAAACATCCTAAATGTCTAATAAATAAATGATTAAAAGTATGGTCCATCAGTAAAATGGAATATACTTCAAAGAACTTAGTAATGTGAGAAATACTCTAAAAGTAGAAATAATATTTATAATTATGCTATAAAACTACATAGTACATGAAAAATAAAAGCTAGAAAGTAATTCTTTAAAATGTGTTCTCAACATTACAGACAATAGTTGTTTGCTTTTCTGTACTTTCTAAGCATTTGGACATTATCAGATATTATACCAAGTATAATCTAAAAATAAATATTAGAATTATCAGAAGGTAAAATGCAACAGTCTAAAGGCAATTATTGAGTAGAACTGAACTGCAAAAGAAATCGAGATTTAAAATCAAAAGATCTCAGCTCCAATTTGGCTTCACAGTTATTTCTCAAAGACTCTGGTCAAACACAACTTCTGAAACTCTGATCCTCATTTGTAAAAGGTGGGTACAGGAATAATGGCTACCATACTCATTTACGCCACAGGGTTACTTCTAAACTTGTAAGTGACACACAAGTACCTCATACGTGAGTATTTTTACTACAACACTTGAACTACGCGGATCTATGGTAATAGAAGTAAAAGCCTCAATGCGTGACTATTTTATGTGCACAGCTGGCTGTCTCTGAATTCCCCAGGGCCAATATTTCAAACCGCACCACTATTTAGAACAGGAACAATGCACTTTCCCTCCAATGTACAAATGTATAGTACCCGGGCAAGAGCAGCACATCTTGTATCTATTCAGTGATTGACCATAGGCAAATTTCTTAACTTCAGTGAGCTTCAATGCCCTCATCTGTGAAACAGACACCTTTTCAGATGCCCAACATCTCTCTACCCTCCTGTTCATTATGCACGATGCTGCCAAAGTGCTTTTCCTGAATTACAAATCCACTACCATTTTCCAGGTTAAAATCCTGCACCAACTGCTTATCTCCTGAAAAACAAAGCCTAAACCACTTTGTACATGTCATGTCCATACATGTCCAACCAGTTCTCTCTCCAGCTACTTCTCTGTCACTCCCTGACCACAGTGCACTCTGGCCATCCCCGAACAAAAAAGCTCAAGTTTCTGCTCCACTCCACGTGTTGTCCTTTTTCCCTTCCTAGGATGTAGTACCCGCTCTGGTGACTCCCCCAACCCTCCTCTATGTGATTTTCTCTAGGGTAGGGCGTATAATCACACTGCATAAGCTCAAATCATGTTCCCATTCATTTCCAGCTGTCTGACCTTGAGTAATTTACTTACCCACTCTGGGCATATTTCCTCATCTATAAGATAAGATTGGAAACATTATACACCTGACAGTTGTCAAGATTCATAAGTTAATATATGCAAAAAGCTTAGAACAGGGTCAGGCACATAGAATTAAGGCAAAGGTTACTTATGAAATATTCTTGAACTATCACTGGAAAATCCAGGTTCTACACCCATACAACACTACTCCATTATTATAGCAACTGTTATATTTTAATTGTGGTTTCCCTGTCTATATCCTCCACTAAATTGTGAGATTATACCTTATGCATTTTCTCTTCAGTCTTTGGCTAAGATAGTTAAATTTAGGTAAATTATATTTTCTGTCAAGTAGAAGGTCATTTTTATAATAAAAATGATAATCCTGTTAGATGGTTGAATGTTTACAGAACATCCTCATATGACAGATATTTGAGAGCACAAAGAATCACAGTAGTAAAAATTGACAAGTTCAAACTCAATTTTCTAATTTTTCAGTATCGTACAAACCAAGAGTGTTTAAAGGAACCAAACTCAATATACTTATACACATACACATTTTCCTTTTTTGCTTATAGTCACTGAAGGGATGAGAGAATCTTGAGGGCAATTTAGAAAGTGGACATAGGTAAAATAACTACCAGGGGTTAGGAAGTTAGTTACATGGCTGATGAGCCACAAAGTGAGTAAATTGGCAAGGCGAGGCAAAAGAGAACTTTGTCAAATGGGGACTGTGGCAAGTGAAGAACAAATACGCCCCATGTAAAAATATTCCAATTTAATAGTATTTAAACCATAGTGCTGCTAAACTGAGTATCTCTAGTGGAATTTGATCTGTGGTCACAAGTTTGTGGCTTGTATGTGAGAATTCAGTAAGAGTAATTGATCCACTCAGGATAATCTGGAGAGGTGTAAAAGAAGAAGGAAAGAATGGTAGTAAAAATAATGGAAAAACTGCCAGAGTAGGAGGTATGATAAAAAAATACAGTGAGTGTTTAAATTTTTAAAAAAATTATTAAAAGTAAAAGACATATTGCCATTAATCCTTCTCAAAATACTCTTCCTCACATAGAACACATTTATCCCATTGTTCTTGCCACTTTCTGAAGCAGTTCTGGAAGTCTTCTTTTATTAGCGACTCTAGTTGAGCTGCCACAGCCCCCTCAATGTCCTGAATCTATGCAAAATGTTTACCTTTCGTGGTCATTCTGACTTTGGAGAAGAAGCAGCAGTCACACTGTCCCAGATCCAGTGAATAAAGTGAACAAGGATACACTGTAATGTTTTTTACAAGCCTGTTTGGGTGTTGGATGACACTATATTTTTTATCATACCTTGTAAAAATGCTTGTAAAAAAAGAGGACTTCCAGAACTACTTCAGAAAATGGCAAGTATGATGGAATAATGTATTCAAAGTGAGGGGGAGTTTTTTGAAGGCGATTAACAGCACTATGTCTTTTACTGTAATACATTTTTAAAACATTTAAATATTCACTGTATATTTTGATCAGCCTTCATACTAATCTTACCCCAAAGTGCTGAGAGAGTGTGATTTTCATTAGGAACATGTGTTTTTAAATGCTGGCATTTACATGTCAGCATAGATAAATCTCCCAAGTATAATGTAAGTGAAAAAAGGAACAGGAAACATACAAAATGATATCATTTACATAACACTCAAAAACACAGAATTAAACAAAATATTAGTAGTTCTAGAAGGTGGGAGGAAGGTCTAACATAGAATGCCTAATTTCTTAAGCTGGGTGGTAAGAACATAACGTTTATTATTTTTTATATATGAGTATATATCATAAGTGCAATTGTATAAACACATACACTACATTGTCTTGTATGAGATTTCATGATAAAATATTTAATCTAATAAAACTCTGATGTACAGATTTTCACATACGATTTTGATATTCCAGAAACATCTCAACCATTCGTTCTTCTTCCTTTAATTTCACAGACAGCTTTTCTGAAAGAGACATTGAAAATGAATTTCAATCCAGCTGACATAACACTGGAAAACAACAAGAATAGCAAAAACAGCAAATTACAAGTTAGCTGTAAGTACCTGCCAGGGCTTTAATGGAGTCCTTATAGGCATCTCTTAGCCCCGCCATCTGACAGGGGGTGTCACTAAGAGTGTTTTTGAACTTATTTCCAAATTCATTTATGCTTTTATCGAAGAGTGCCAGTTCATCCTCTACCACTGTGCAAGACACTACGAAACACAAAACACGTATTTCAGAATTTATCAAAACCAAATAAACCATATATTCAAATCAAGTATGCTCTGACAGTTTGACTCTTGCTAGAGAATGGTTAGCAATTGAACCTTTCGTCCTACATATTTCCTGACAAATCAAGCCACTTGGGCCTAACCGTGATTACGTGCAGCAAGGATCTAAAACACCTTTACCTCCTAAGGACTTGTTAGTAAAGTGTAATTGCACAGGACACTGTGCAATAGGGTCATAACTCTATGACCCTGGGGAAACTAACTCTGACTGTTTTTCTCACAAGTAAAGCTGGCGACTTTTAAGGCCCGGTCCAACTCAGACCTTTTCTGATTCCAGTCTAGATCATAAGGTGGCCACTGACACCCCACCCCACCCCCACCCGGCCCCGTAAGACCTCACATTTACCCTGCCTCTTCTTCCCGTCCTGGAACAGGAAAAACACAGTTAAATGGAGCCTGGGGTGGGAATTTGGCGGTTCAGTCCACAGTTCACTTCATCAGTCGAGCCTCATTATCCTCTGTAAAGGGATATCTTGGAATACTCCAAGCCTCATCCGTTCTCTGCGACGCCAAAAACTCACCAGGATGGCCAAAGACATCTTGATCATTCAGTGAAACCCAGAACCCCATGGCTTCCCCGCTGCTCCCCCCCCCCAACCCCCACCCTGGCCTTGGAGCCCAAAGAGCAAAAAGACGCGCTTTTCACAAACCCCACCCGAAATACGTACAAACATGCCCCCCAAACCTACTTTCCCCTATTACAGCAGACAAGTCGAAGAGCCCAGCCAGGCTCCCACCTTCGTCACCCCGGATGACAGTCCTGAGCTCAGTTCCCTTCCCTCAAAACCAGTGCGACTTCCAGCTCCCAGCAGATCCCCAGACCCAGTTACTAGAGTAGCGCCAAATTTTCGATTTCAAACTCAGGGCACTTCCCGCCTCCCCCCTCAGGAGCCTATTCGCCCTCCGATTGGCTAATAGCACTGGCTCACTATGCAGTAATTGGTGAATTTGGCCTCCGGGACTCTCACGGTAAAAATGTAAGGTAAAAGGCATTCTGGGATTTGTAGTTTTTAACCTGAGAGACAGCCGGACTCAATGTCGCCTAGAAAAGCAGCAAAGAAGGATTTCTTAAATCTTTCGTGGTTTTTGTTTTGTTTTTATTACTATTGATGTTTGGATTGTTAACAGTCTCTAAAGTGAAACCTGTGTCTTACATATTGCAGAATATTGTAACTACAAGTTAAACTATGTTAACACTCATGATATATGTCAAAGATGCAAGGACATGTGTAAATGGCCAGATACTTTCAGGTTGTAAAATACTCTGTTCTTTGTGATTTTTTTGGAAAGCAACCTACATTTGAATTTTAACCTCAACTTTGAGACGTTTTGATACTGCTTTTCTTACAGGTTTTTCATAGTGCTGTCTAAAAAGGCATCAGTAAAATGAAAGTCTTACCTCAGGAAATGAGAACACTCCTGACCATGTTGCTTTGGAACAAGGAACCAGTCTTTCATAATTAAGTATTGTTAGCATTAAGGAATAATTTTACCTGATGTAAAAATAAACAAAAACAAACAAACAAACAAAACAATCTCTGAAAGACTGGGAAAGTGGTTTCTCTCTACTCTTTGAAGCATAACTAGGGACACATAGCTCTTCTTTCTGCTCAGCACACAGAGTAGGACACCAGCTTTCTCAGATTTTAGAAAGGGGAAAAAGATGAGGTCCTCCCCTCCCTTATCACCACCCACACTCCACCACCATCATCACCACCACCATACTTATGTGCCGTTCATTTCAATCCACCCAAGATTTATTGAGTATCTATTATGTGTCACATACTGAGTCAGGCACAGACTTCTCTGTGATGTATGGTCTATGACCTAGGGCTCGGTTTCTGTAGGCTGAGGAGTAGGAAGACGGTACATCTTCCCAGTCAGGAGGTATTTCTGGGTGCTGATTATAAGAAGCATATCTAAGATCAGCAGAAAGTTCACCGTTCCTTCCCTGAAAACTTAATTTTTTTTCTCCAATATGTGAAGGATGATAAGGTTTAAGGAGAAAAAGATGTTGTCTCCTAGAGCACATACCCTAAGCAGGTATTTCCTATCTTAGAGGCAGAGTGAAAGAAATAATGAGTAATACCATTGTTTAGACTAAAAGTTCCCCACCTTACTAAGTATAAGGATCTCTATGTTACATTCACTTTTATGTTGAACCCAAAAATGCTAGCACATAAACTTTCAAAACCCATTCACTTGGAAAATTAGAAATAATAAAAGCTACTATGAATTCAGAAGAGAAGAAAGCTCTTCCTGCATATTCCTGGTTAGAATTTATTATATAGAAACTCCTCATTGTATTCAAAAGACTCTGGAACAGAAATTTAAAATCCTGTAGATAGCTGCATGAGCAATGTTAGAAAGCACTGAAATAAACAATTGAAGAAAATGAGTCTTCTGAAATTACAATGAACAAAGTACAGTTTCTAAACTGGAGTCCATCTTCAGCACCAGTTCCACCTGGAATCTTTCATGCTCCTAGAATTAAAAATAAAACAAAATAAAGGAAACACGGAGGTCCCAGCATGGTGAAGAGATGAAGTCACCAAATCCCCCCCCCAATTATAAAATTGTCCAGAATTATCAAAAACAACCATTTCAGTGCCCTAGAAATTGATTGAAGGCTTATATCAAACTAAGAAGCATTTATTTATGAAAAACTGCTCAAGCACACAATGACAAGTAAAAGAAGTGAGATGCAAATGACTACATATTTCTGTACATTATTCCATTTATATGACATAACCAGAAGTGCGAAATCCATAGAGACAGGAAACAGTTCAGCAGTTGCCCAGGGCCAGGAACAGAAGCAGGTAGTGACTGCCAGAGGACACAAGGAAACTTTCTGAGCTGATGGAAATGTTCTAAATCTGGTGTGTGGTGGTTAATGACAACTCTAAATTTACAAAATATCATTGAATCGTATATTCAAAATAGATAAATTTATGTTACATAAATTAACCTTCAATAAAGTTATAAAAATTAAAAAATGAAGAATATCTAAGCTTCAGAGAAAAAGAATATCTTTTGTAAGCACTCCGAAAACATTTGATACAGTGAAAAAAATTCAGTTTTTAAAAATTTTTGGAAAAATTCATATAACATAAAATTTACAATTCTTAACAGTTCACTGGCATTATACATTGCTTTGCAATTATAACATTATACTTTGCACCCATTCAACAAGAAATCCAAGTCTCTCCTCCTACAATATTGTGGCAACCAACATTCTACTTTCTGTCTTTAAGAAATTGACTACTCTGGATATAATTTTTTAATTGTTTCATACATGTGAAAAATAAGAATTTCTAGGGCTGCGGATTTAGCTCAGTGGTTCTGCTGCCTGCCTCGCAAGCACAAGGTCCTGAGTTTGATCCCTGGTACCCCCCCGCAAAAGAATTTCTTTTAAGGCTATTAAATGTAATTTATTAATTAATGTTAATGTTTTTTGGCAAGAAAATAATATTATCTCCATTATATGCTAGAATATACTTTTCCTGTTATCCTACATTTTGCATTTCCAAATTCTACATGTACATCAAGCCCCCATCACTTAGCTCTTCCTCCACAAAACCTCTGAAGCCACATAGATTGAAAGTTATTCTGTATCTGCCCCGCCTCAATTCCATTTACTCTCTCTTTTCACCTCCAAATGCACAGTGAAATGTTATTTGTGCAAATGCTTATTCTAATAGAGCTCAAGTTTTTTGAGAGATGATCTATTTCTGTTCTGCCCTTTACATGCATGAATCAGTCTTAAATTACTGCTTCTCAGAAGTGAGGTTTCCCACCTAAGAACAGCACCATCATTGGGGAACTTGTTAGGAAAGCAACTCTGAGACCCCCTCCATTCCTACCACATCAAAGACTCTGGCAATGACCTCTGTAATGTGTTGTAACAACTCCCCAAAGTGAGTTGGATGCACACTGAAGTCTGAGATTCTCTTACACTTAGTAAGGACTCTCTTTGTTGTCTATAATATGCAATATCTTAGCTCTACTGTAAGAAAATTAATAGAAAATTGCTCAGTGGGCAATTCTTTTTGTTCCTTTAGTGATCCAAGTAAAAGATTATGAATGTATGGGTCAGGATCATCTCTAGAGAATAGTACATAATGAGACTAATGGAGGGGGTACCTGGATCATTTATAATAGTGTCATTAAAGAATGCCAATATTCCTGGGATGCTGGCCAGAATCAAGGTAATTATTTTCTGAAAGTCACCATGGTCTACACTCAGTATGAAATAAATCAATTTTACATTGCAAGGTGACACTGGAGAGATCTCAAAAACAATTTCTTTTAGAGAAGGCAGATAAGTTTGTGGTAAAAGGATAATGACCACACAGGAACATGAAAGGTCAATCCCTCCAAAATCTATTTTTGTTTTGCTTCCACAGCATAAGTGACACAAACCAAAGCCAAATCGCTCTGAATGATGTTGAATTGCAATGAACACTAAAACCCGAAGATGAATGGTTCATTTTATGTTAAGAATAAATCTCAGGGCTATATAATATTTGATGTGGCAAAGTATATTGAAGAAAATTGGCCTCTGTATGACATGTTGGGATCTAAGTAAAACAGGAAGAATTTGCTTAAATCAAAACATAGGAAATGCTGGGGATTTAGCTCAGTGGTTCAGCTGCCTGCCTTGCAAGCACAAGGACCTGAGTTCGATCCCCGGTACCAAAAAAAAAAAAAAGGTAAATACAAAACATAGGGAAATTTAAAATGGACCAGAATGAGAACATTCTGGAAAGAACTGAAAGTATTCCATTACAGAACTAACTAAAAATAAAGCAGCATTACATGGGATTCAGACTAGCTACAGTAATAAAATTTTTTTTAAAAAACCAGAACAGTCTTTATGAAAGTCATTAAGATAAGCAAATCCATACTAAATGGTGTACTGAAGATATCAGCAAGGAAACTAAGACAATGATGGGATCCTGAGTATAAGCACCATAGATGGTACAAGAAATGCCAGTGAACTTCACGCTGTACTTAATTTTTCTGGGTCAGGGATTCCATTGATAATCTGGTGAAAGCTGAGGCCTTCTTCCAAGAAATATGCGCAAGCAAAACATTTTGCAAATAATTTCAGGACATCTACTGACCCTTAAATAAATCAAACCAGGTTATTGACGGCCTAGAAACTGGAGAGATTTCTTCCAAAAATGCTTTGCTGGCACAGCAGAGTTCTAGTTGTTGACTGTTTGGAGGAATCAAATGGAGAATTCTACTCTAGCAAGAAGAAAATGAACAGATCCAGAAGGGAATGGTGGCTGGCTGTGCAATTTTCTAAAGACCCTTTATTATGTGTAGGACATTTGGTTTGATTTCCAGATGCATTTGTGAACAATTCAAATTTGTCTCTGCTTTCTTGGAGCTCTTTGCTCTCAGGCTAGAGAGTAAGGTTAGAGACAGCGATCAATTCAAAGACTTAAATAACTAAATGCTTGGTGTGATACCAAGGGCAAGACAGAGAAAAAAGAGGAGAGGGAGAGACAGAGACACAAAGAAACAGAGAGGAGAGAGCAAAGAGACACAGAAAAAGAGGCAATAATGTCACAATACAAAACAGATACAACATAAACATTTTGTATAATCCTGTAGTCCTATCACTTTGCCCTACTTCTGCTCTGATCAAGAATCTCAGAGTTGGACTTCAATTTCATTTTTGACAAACTATTTGGCAAAATAACAATAACTAAGATTAATTTGAGCTAATATTTTTTGAGCATTTACCACATGCTTTTGGTAGGAAAGGGGAATAGAAAGGAGGGACATGAGAACAGCCCACATCCATGAAAAGGAATTAAATAATACAACTCTGGCCAAAGCAAGTGAGAAAAAATGCTCACTTGAGAAAGATTGACTCCAC